AAAATTTGGGCTCTGCCTCGCTGTAAAACCAATTAAACGCACGGATGACGAAAAACTTTAAGAAAACTCAACTTCCTGAATAACAGAGAATTGAAAAGCAAAAGGCTCGAGTTGTTACTCCTACGAAATTCACAAAAAGGGTTAGCAGCAACACTGAGTTCAGTACATTTCAGTTCAATTAATTCATTTGCTTTGTTTGTTTGTTTAACTCAATGCAGCCAACAATCAAGTTATTCTACAATGGACTCAGCTGACAACGTGCGCTTGCAGTTGTCCACTCCCCTTGAAACTATCCGATCAAAAATCGCCAGGGAATGCTTGTGCTTTTCGTTGGTGAACAAGCTTCAGCGTTAACTTCCCCTGACAATCCCTATCCTTCATTGGATGATTGGTGGCAGGTTATTAACCAGTCAGAGGTAAGAGCTGTTTGAAACTCCGAAATACGGCCGGGGGTGATCCCTATAATTGCCTATACCAAGAGAGAATGATCTAGATTATTCTCTCTTGCCTATCTGTCGGAGGCTCCACCCAAAATGGGTACCATTATCAGGCTTCAGGTATTTGAAAGGGTGAGGAAATCTGTCATTTCCTCCTGTAAAAGACCTAAAAGAGCTAATAGGAGAATGAATTTACAGGTGTGAAAAACGTCGAGACAATTTACTAGTTTAAAAGACAGTGCATTTAAAAGACAGTGCATTTACAGCAGTCTATAAAAGGGATGCAGATTTATGAAAGGGGTACCGTTTGCCAATAGAAGGTTTACAGGGTACCTTAAAAGGGGTAGCTCTTCTGTAAATAGGTAAGGGATTGAACCACGGGGCGGAGCCTCCTGTGTAAAGCGTTTGGGAGTACCCTCTGGGGTCCAAACCTAACACTGAATCACAAAAACAAGTACGATCGACGGCGCGAGCCTCGTCTTCTTCACCACCGATCGAAAAATTAAGGGTGACTTGCCCAAAGTTTGAGCAGTTCAAAGAGTATACTGAGATAGTTCCACCTTTTTAAAGCATGTTTGTCGATTCATGATGACTTTCATTATGTGGTTAATAGAGGATGGATGCAATCATCAGTACACAATCCTAACCCTCTTAGTTGGTTGTTTGCTAGGCAGCGTGCAATCCGATTTAAATTTAACGTTAAATTTGTTGGTTTTAATTATGTGTCAGCCTATTATGTCTATTAGTTTTTGTTTCTTAAGTTTTACTGGCGGATTTCATTGTTCATCTTTCCCTAACAGAAAGGCGTCGACACTCTATTTGATCTTGAGGACAAATTCTGGCAAACATACAGCAAGCGCCTTCACGTGTTCATGATGCGCTGCGGAATGTTGGGAAGTTTCCTGTTATCATAACGACGAACATGGATGACCTGTTAGAGCGCTTCCTTTGGAAGGCTGGGAATGTTGGAGACAAAGTTCGACTTGATCAGGCAAGTGGAAAACAGTTCAGTCTTTTTTATTGCTGACAATCGCTTGATGACTCAACGAAACGTGAATTTTACATGACGCTACCGAAATCACCGCGATGTGTTTGTTAAGTTTAACAGGGACCGCGGGGGAGGGCTGGTGGTAGGCCGCGGCCCCACCACTTTTTAGCGCCCCTGCCCCACTTTTTGAAAATCAAATACTATGATTTTTATTCCTTTTTTCGATTTTCAATATGAAAAATTATTTTCAATTGTCAGCCCTCCCAGTTTTTACCTTGCTCCGCGGCCCCTGTTTAAGCTTGTTTTTCGTAGATTTTTCTCAAGAACTGGTCTCGATAATATTTCGATACAATTTTGACCCACTACTTCATGATTTAGAGAGTTCTATCCCTTTACAGGTGATCAAAATAGAACTTGTTTAATGAAAACCACAGAGGCTTTTAAAATCAACACACTTCTTCAGCGCGCTCTCTCATTTTAAATTGAAACTTAACAAGTCCCGGATGCGAGTCCCGCATGCGAGTCGATAAAACCGCTGTACACTACAGCGCCCAGATTATAAGCGCTAATCGAAGATTAAAATTTTGTACCCCGTTTTTGTATTTTGCCTTCCTACGTTGCTTAGGGTAACATTTTGAGTCATCATTACTGTACTTCGTAGTAAAAGCTCAATAGTATTTTGTAACCTTGAGTTGCACGTCCTTAGACGAGAAATCCTTTCTTAAAATTTGGCTTAATCCTGGGTTAAACTTAAACTCGAGGAACCGGGCCCTGGACTATACTCATCCCGATTTCAAACCAATTTACTGCACCAACCCTTCAAAGGTGTTGTTCAACCCCTTATAAGTTTCTGGAAATACTGGGTCCCCTTAACATCCCATCAAACAGTTTGGTATTTAATCCACATCTTACCTTTTGAGTATTCAGAAGTCCTGAGTATTCAAAATGAAAATGTCCCTTTTCAGATTTCATGTGTAGCTCCTTCCTGGCCTAACCTGCGTAGAGATCTGATTATCAAATGTCTTGGAGATAGAAGTTTCAATGTCCGGACACAGGTAAGTTCGCACAAACTTTAAATCATGGGCGACAGATCTGGCACGAAATTCCAGCATAGACCTCTTCAGCTTGTATGTTTTGTTTCTCTGTGAATGTCCCAGGTGAATTTGACCTCTTGTCTTTTCAAGAATTATGGCTGATTCTGCGTACATATGCAAGCCAATAAGAAAAAGCTTGAAAGAAACAGAGATCTCTATAGTATTATCACATGACCTCCATTAGGAGAACAATACATGCAAGCTAAAGAGGTCTTTTTCACATGGTGAAAGTTACAAAATTGCTATGGCATTGTTCCAAACCAGGTTGGCGTCCAGGTTTAAAAAATGTTGCGAATAAAGATATCAGGACAAAAAGGCAGGGTAGAAAAACCTAAAGACAGGGAAAAAGCATAATCTCGAACAGCAGGATGGATTCTAAGGGGTTATTTTTAAAACGATTCAGAGAATTGAGGACTTCAATGAAACTTTTCAATGGGCGGAATTGCAGAACGGTACAAAGCGAAGTTTTTCACCCATGATATCAATAGGTAAAATAAAAGCTATAGTCGTGAAATTAGTAAATTATTTCTCGTGCAGTTTGTCAACAATACATTTGGCTTGTCTATTTACACTGACTGATCCCCTGAAAATCAAAAACAGTTTCCGTTTTCAGTTTTAATAGCGATAAAATTATTAAGCTCAACATTTTTTCTTTTGAAGCCCAGCAGCAAGAACTACTTTGAGGACTTTTGCAGCACTCTTGAAAGTGCAGAAGTTGACTTTATGCATCGAATTTTCAACGAACGATCTGTGCTGTTTCTGATGTGATCTTCATCGTCAAGACTACGAAAGCTTTTTTTCAGAAATTTGCCGTTAATGCTAAGGTATATACTACTAACTGAGGTGACAAGTGAAAGTTTCGCTTCGTTTGTTCTTTTCCTTTCTCTGCATGCCTGACATGCCGTCTTCTCCTTCTTTTTCTTCGTTGTCGTCTTATTATTCTTCTTCTGCAGTTTAATGTCTTGGATTGAAATTTCGAAAGACATAACCAATAATAGAATCTGTACCAAATAGTGTTCCTAGAACTCCAGAACCGTAACGAAATCAAATACTTCAATTTGAAAACAAATTGGTTGACTATGACTTTTGGGGTCCACCTGAAGGGAAAACAAAAACACTGTGCGAAAACTTTCTTAAGTATAAACAACCCGTATTCACCCTGACCGACAACTGGGGTGAAGGATACATAACTATTTTCATTGCACTACATTAGTATAGAGTAGTCTCAAATACTTTGGCTTTCCATTTTGGTTTTCTATCGATACTATAACGCACTTCTTATCTCGTACAAAAACAGTCAAACCTCGCTATTTCGAACTCGGTTAATTCGAAGTCCCCGCTATTTCGAAGGAAGATCGAATGCCCTTGGATTTACCCTTCCCCTTTATGCTTCCCCGGTTATTTCGAAGCCCCGCTATTTCGAACTTTTTTCCATTTCCCTTGGGACTTCGAAATAGCGGGGTTCGACTGTAATGATAAAATTATGATCAAACAAAGACTGTAAGTGTGTGACAATAAGAATAAAGATAGTATTTGGGGATAGAATGAGGAATTGGACTTGAAGGCTGAAGTAAAATCAGTCTTCGGAAAGGTGCACGAGAGACTGTCAGAGGTATAGGGAAACTACTTTAAGTCAGTCAAGTCGATTTGTTTGTCAGTGTTGTAAATTCAACAGCTGTCACGGCAATATGAGACAGTGTATGCCTGTAGGAGATTAATTAAGACAGTGGATCCGTTTTTCTGTTACCACTTTTAGATGATCCATTACAATTTTGAGACTTCAGATAAGTCGGACCTGAAGCAAACGGAAATCTTCTCACTCTGAAGGTGACCATAAAGCCCTGGGAATTTGTGCAGTTATTGAGCACAGGAACTATTCAAGAGGCCGAGGACATTCAGCCTGGAGAGGTACTAATGCTTTGTATTTAAGTTATAGCTCTGTAGCTCAGTGGTTTAGAGCATCCAAACTAGAACTCGGAGGGTCGTGAGTTCGATTAGCCAAGCAACCGCACGACTAACTAAGAGACCATTGACTGGCAAATATCTTAGTTGCTGCCTCGTACCCTAATGTCTCTCCCTGGTCTCTCTATCCATAAAAAAGTGCGCGCAAAGGAAGGCGGGAAGGAGAACGGGCAAGACGCCGCTTCACCTCTCATTTTTCTCCTTCCCATGGTCCATTGCGCTTCTTCACCAGTCCTGCGTGTCACTCGCGTTTCGCGCTGGCCTCTGTGCGAAAAAAGAATCGCCAGCGGAGGAGACAATGGTTGGTTAACACAGTGATTCATGTGTGCTTTCATGCATTCTTAATTTCTTAAGGTCTATTTGCGATCTTACCTGAGAATCCAAAGGGACCAATACCTTCAGCAGCAACTTGCCCTGGAGAAGAAAGCATCCGAGATCATCTTTCACACCACGACTGTCACGAATGCCTTGTCCCCAGACGAATACTTTGAGCTGATCTCTCGTCATGCGATCGAAGATATGTTCATGAAAGATTCTTTTGGTAAATAAAACGTGTCACATTTCTGCTATTTTGCACAATATTGAGCTGGTTAACTATAAGGCAGACATTGAAAATTAAAGATGACTTCTTAATTAAGAAAATGTTTACTTTCTCGTGGAAGGAAAGTAGGTCTTATTCTAACCGAACTAAATCTCAAGACGTTTTAAATGACCATGTTCGTGTTAAAATAGTGACCTATTCTCCATATATGGATTAATAGAATTAGGACCAAAAAAGTGATAGGGCTGTTTCCCGTTATGTTATTACGGAAAGGTCTCATGGAAAAATAGAATTCTGGTATCATTCAAACGACCAGCCCCTGTTAAGGTAGCATGCACAGGCAGTGGAAATGTACAAGAGCTAATTAAAATCTTTTTATCCCTCACAGCTGCTCATTTAATTTCAAATGAAAGAAGACCCGATAAGAAAGCAGAAGGAGATATATTAAATTGCCAGGACATTCTAGTCATAACTACAATGATAAAGCTGAATGAAAGGCTCTCTTCGAACACTATAGTTTTCATTTTAAGCTCTCCATAGTCCATGTTTCCCTTAGTCTCAAAAACTTTTTTTTTGAATTTTTTTAGGTGTTTACTCGCAGGAAAAAAGTCCAGAGAACGGTAGATGCCATGAACAAAGACGAGATAACCTGATTTGGGTAAAAATGCCGTAAATTGCGGTTATAAATGTCACTATGATTATAAGCCAGTGGTTTATGATTTTGACACCAACTGTGACAATGCTCAGTTTAATTTCTGACGTAACTATGACCATGACGGTAAGAAAAATTTAAATTGACTGTATTAGTGATTACAGCAGTGATAGTTACTTTGGCAGTGACTACGTAAATCAGGGCTGTCAAATCTTCCGGATAATCCGGGAGACTCCAGATTTTGAACCGTTTCTCTCGGTCTCCAGATTAGAGTCTGAAATCTTCCGGGTAATTGCCGAAGTTTGCCAGTCTTGTAGATTCGGCTTTCTGACAATGAAATTTCAAATATTTTGCGTTGTTTGAGCTATTTTACTGTTAACATCGAACGTTTCCTCACAAACTCCGGTATGGCATTGTAATATGAGCAATAATGTGATTGGTGGGAAGTAAACCAGTTGGGTCAAATGTTACAATTCCAACAACATGTATTTTCGCGTGTTTTATTTTCACAAATGACGTAATGTGCCGTACATTATGACGTCATCTACCATCCCTTCCACATGAATTCTCAATATTTGAAGACGTGGGGGGTTGACAGCCCGGGTAAGTAGCAAAGTTTGACTGATTGGGATTGTGTTAGTGACTACACACATATAACAGCGACTATGACTGCTACTGTGAAAGTGGTTTTGGAGGTTACTGTGACTGCAGCTGTGACTGCGGCCATGGCTGAGACCAGGAGCCCATAAGTATTAACTAATATCATTTATAAACTTGACACTTGGACTCTTGCCCCCCAGAAGACAAGTGGTATGGCGTGATTCTGTGGGTGTTGAGAGTTCTGGGTCAGGGCTTTAAATCAGAGTGCGCAGATATTTTTCATCAGAGTTTTCTCTGGTTGTTGCACCATACTGACGAGCCCCAAAAAGGGCGAAACAGCTGTCTGTGGCTACAATCTCGCTCTGTTTTGAGTTATTTCGGTGTCGAGTTGATGTCCTGCAGAGTTAATTTTCACGTAGTTCGATCAGCATTGCAGTATTCTGTTTGCAGAATTTAATTTGTCTACATTATTATTTTTGCTGATCAGATCTTTTATGTATTAACCTTTTTAGCTCCTAAAGACTCCTGAAGCGCAGACAAGGATCACTTGCCTTTTCTTTTACCATGGAGTCAAAAGAGAAATACAGAAGTGGAAAGAAGTCGAAGAAACCCCTTCTTTGCCTGAGGATGAAAAACAGAACATTTTACTGAAATGCAAGATTTCAGTTAGCAAATACGCAAAGGTTGCACTGCTGGCCAACTCATTTATGCAACGGAACAGCTCTATGGAAATTCGCATAGTTGACTCGGAAAAGTATGATGTGGAAAAACAGAGGGAGGTGGAAAGGGAGACGTTTGCCCTCATCCGTCTTAAAGGTAGGAATAGAATCCATGTGTTTTTGTAGTTAAGCTACACGTATACAACAAACCAGCAAACTTCAGATTCAAGTTGAAAATTTTCACGATAGAAACTGAGCAGATAAAACCGTTCAAAACAGTTCTTATGGATAAAAAGTGAGTGAAACTACTAATTTATGCGTGGAAATAATGAACAGTAAACGACTGGTAAAGGGAAACGTGGTCACGTGATACAAACTCGCGTTTGCAGTTTGACGCACGTTGCTTTAAAACGTCTCTATTAGCTGCTGTTGTTGCTTCCATTGAAACATAATCGTTCGATTTCCTAACTACTCTAACCTGCGATCAGGTGTTCTTAGTTTTCGGGGAAAGCTCGAAAATGAGCGGACGGTTTACACAATTACTGCTTTTTATATTTTTTTTATTAACTGGATTAAACGCCTCAGCACGTTTATTAAATTTTTAGCGTTTACGATCTGATTCAGGAGCGATGTCTATTTTGGTGACATTTCTTTAATCACTGACAAAAATTACGATTATCATAATCATTTTTATTCTTCTAAGTTATGTAAAACAGAAGGATGTTTTAAGTTCAATGGTTTGTTTGTTTTTCTTTGCTGAGATTCGTAATTGCCTGGATGGGGTAGGTTACGAGGTTGTACCGAGTTTTTCCCTCCCCTAATATACGCCGCAATGTACTGAGTGGGTGCGCGTTTGGTGATGTTTTCTTCCATGACATGATGAATGTATTAATTAGTTTTAAAGAAATGTAAACCCTATAGCAACATTAGCAAAAAATGTAATCTTTGTCGTTATGAAAATATCAACCACCCATATTTTACTGCCAGCTTTTAATTTTAACGGTCAATCGTTGAAGTTGCCTGATGAGTGTGGTCCTATACAATTTCAGACCATACGAAACAGAACTGTCGCAATTAAATGATCGATGATTACTCCTGAAGCCTGCACTCCTGTTATTATTAATAGTCAATGCTCTTCAATTAAATGAATTGAGCGTTCTACGAAATACGTTCTACCCAGAATACAAGTAGGAATTTCATACCGTATATTGAACTGCGCGAGATGAAAAAAATACAGAGAAGATTATCACAGTTAAGTACTCAACTTATGCAGTTGTGAAAAGAAAGCCTGAAAAAGTTCCGACTTTGTCGGTATTCAAAGCTCAATTTGGCTTTTTAGCTCAATTAATTAGAGCTCTGCACCAGTATCGCAGAGGTCAGGGTTCGAGTCCCGCAAGGCTGAATTTTTTCCAGGCTTTCTTTTCGCAGTTGCATAGGTTGCGTATTTAATTGTGATGATCTCCTCGGTATTTTTCTTCCATCTGCAGCATTTAATCGAAAGTGGCGTTTAATCGTTAGACACGGTAATATTCCCTAGGCCAGTTTTTTTTTCAGCATTGTTCGTACTTATAAGAATCAGGAAAGGTAGACCATCGAGGTGGAAATCTCTTCAAAACTGACTCAAACAGTTGGATATTGATTCCGTTTCCCCATACGTTTATCGTCTATCTAAAAGGGATAACGTCTAGTTATTTTAGGGGGTTCTGTGTCATACTCAAGCCCCTTCTCCTAAAACAGACACTGGCTGATGCTTGGTCAACTTTATTCCAAACAGTTCTTTGTATTTCCTGTGAAAAAACTGCCCATTCCAACAGTTTGATATCTGGTGATCAGAAACAGGCATTTTCGGCAAAACACTCCACCACTCTTATTTCGTTAATTCTTTCTGAAGGACGGGTAATATAACTAGAGGGATAGAGTTTCTGCATAGTATAGTCAGCTTGTGTGCTAAGGCCTCCTTGAAAATAATGACCGAGCGCGTAGCGAGGTCAGCTATTTTTCAAAAGGCAGAGGAGTGAGGGCATTATCCGATTAAATACACCCTTCCATTGTTTTAGAACGAGCAAGTCATTATTGTGGCCTCGAAGTGGAACAGTAGCTTATTATTCGTAATAATAACCTCCTGTTCCACCCCAGTGGCTTGCTCCTCCCATTTCTTGTAAATAATAACCTGTTCAACAGAATGAAAGGCGCATTAAAGCCACATCCTACATTTTACAGGTGGAACAGATGAAGCAATCTGCTACGCTGATCAAGCATCATCTCCAGATCAGCGAAATTTTGCTTCTCATCTCGTGAACATCAATGGGGAGGAGGTTGCGAACAAGCGAAAAGTCTACGAGAAAAGTCGATTGGTTGCCTGGAGTAACGAAGACTCTATCCTGAAACTTGCAACTACCATCATGAAAGAAAACTCTGAGATGAAGGACAGATTCGGCATTGACGCAATTGAAGTAAGCCTTTTGTTTTGGTCGTTTGTGTGTCCCTTTATCGCTAGCCCTTTTAAGCCGCGTTAAAATGCCTCGATTATCTGCGTTTTGAGCGGCTCTTTAAATAGTTTAAGCACAGCCAGACCTAATCCACCAAACTTAGCATTTTCAAGCTGCGCGTATATTTCTCTTACGCCACTAATTGCAGGGCTGGAAGTGCAGTGCGGGGTTTGAAAAAGTTAACGGGATTACATACGGGAATTGACGGCTACTGGAGATGCAGGATTCGCCAAAATACAGTGCGGATTCAGAAAAAGTTAACGGTATTACATACGGGGAGTTGACGGCTACCGGAGATGTGGGATTCGCCAAAATACAGTGGGGATTCGGAAAACGTTAACGGATACGGGAATTGAATGCTGCTGGAGAAGAGGATTTGACCAAAATACAGTGCGGGATTCGAAAACGGTAATGGGATTACATACGGGAATTGACGGCTACCGGAGATGGATTCACCAAAATACAGTGCGGATTCGGAAAACGTTAACGGATACGGAATTGAATGCTACCGGGGTAGCGGGGCTCACTAAAATTTGGGCACTGATGTGGGATGGGAAAGAAAATTATGTTCGGGAGAGCGATGAGAGAAATTCAGGATTCGGTATTTTCGTGATGCGTGTTCGGGATACGGCATTCTCGTGAAAAAAGAGTGGGAATACGTGATCAGGGCCTCCCAGTCTCTGTTATTGTCTGTAAGTAGCATCTTCTTTCCATGCTATCGTGATTGACGAAAATGGCTTTTAAGAAAAATGATGCGTTCGAGCACACTTTGTTTGGGTTTTGTGACATTGGTCAAAAAATAATAGCCATTTACTAAACGGAAGCGATGATTTACAGAGGCAAGAAGGAAAAGGTAAACCGTCCGAGACAAAAAGTACATTGAATGAAGAAGTTACCGAAAAGTACGAAAGGAAAGGGAAGGCTTCTTAGTTTCTTGGTGGGTGTTGTGTCAAGAAATGCTATCTATCTTCAATTTTAAAAAGCCTCTCAACAGAGCGAAGACTTGGCTGACCTGGAACAGCTGACTCGAATAAGCAACAAATTTAGAAGCGAGCTTGATGCAGGCTACTTTGATCGTATCGGCGAGGGAAACTTTGGTTACGTGTACAAAGCTCAAAAGGGCAAACACGATGTTGCTGTGAAGATCTTAAAGAATAAAGAAGACAAGGATCTGATCAATAACTTCGAGAGAGAAGCTGATATGTTGAGGTAAGTTCAAGACTCTATTTGATAAATAACGTTATTAAATAAAAGTGGCAAATGTTTCGTTAATGTAGCGATGTCACGACTATTTCCAGGGGAAAAAACAAGCAATAACTACTTTCTGTTTTGCTGATTACTGTATTTATTCGATTAAGTGCCCAACCTCGAATAAGCGCCCACTGCTCCCCGCCCCCCACCAAGAAAGAAATTGACCTTACTGACAATGAGATTGAAATTTACAAAGTGATACTTAGCTAGAAACTTCCCACGCGACAATGTTTCCTGGTACATCTTCACGTTTTGTAATTATTTATCTATTGCTGTAAAATAAATTTACTACTTGCTGAAAATGGTGAAAATTTAGCCTCTGCGTTAGTGCTGCAGTGCTCTACCAACTGAGCTGTGAAGAACCATACACAGAGAGCAGGCCAACGTGTTAATTTCATCTTGGCCCGCAAAAAAGAAATGAGACGCGGAGCTCATGGGTTGAAATATCGTTGAGGCCCTTAAACGATTTCCGGGCTTAATTTGTAATTACATTGCGATTAGGACTTCGATGGTCATGTCTTCATTTAGATTTGTATTCTTGGAGTTCCATAATCTTCATTCTGTAATTCTGATCACTCTTAATTCAAAGCTCCTTGTTTTCTATTGGCATCTGTTCCATACGGCCTTAGAGGCAAGCCGCTGATCAAAGTATATATTATTTTTATTCTCTGACCAGAAAAGCGAATCACCCAAATATTGTACAGGTCATCTCTATACACATCTCCAAGAAAAGTGAGTTGTCCATCGTGATGGAGTTTATGGCTGGAGGAAATCTCAAAGACCTGTTGAGAGAAAACAAGCAAGGAATGGGAAAAGAGTTCACAGTTACATTCATTGAAGATATCGGCTCAGCTATCGAGCATCTTCACTCGCTTGGTGTTATGCACAGGGACGTTAAACCGGAAAACATCTTTGTGAGTACTAGTTTAAATTTTGGTGCAGTCATTTTGTCTTTACTACTAACTTTTTACTGGTGTGAGTTCCTACAGTAAACCAGAAATTTCTGTTTAGCCTACTTTGGGCCGTGTGTTGAAGTGTGCTCTGTGTGCATAGCGCCCCCAAAACGCGACAATTGGAGTCTTGTTCTCCTGGAGACACGTGATATAGCGTGATCCGGTGGGTGTTGGAGTTCATTGTTGAGGCTTAAAACGGAGTGAGCGGGTATTTTCTCAGCAGAGCTTCTCTGTTTGTTAAGCTGTCCTGACTAGCCACAATTATGGCGAAACAGCTGGCTACAACCCCGTTCTGTTTTGGGTTACAATGGTGTCCTGCTGATGTCTTGCAAAGTTACTTTTCATGCAGTAGTACGATCAGAAGTTTGCAGAATTCAGTGTGTGTACTTTGGTATATTTTTGCTGGTCAGGTCCTCTTTAGATCCTACGCTCTGCGGCAAATTCGTTTGCAGTCCTTTGCAGTTAATAGTGAACTTATGCAACAGGACGGGAGAGAAAAGAAGACGGTAAACCTTATGTGACAAGCGTGACAATAATTGTTTGAAATAACTTTTCGTCAAACTTCACTTTCAAACTTTTATACAGATCTTTTTTGTAAAGACCAGAAAACATTGATGATAGTGAAGTTCACAACAAAACACACAACTAGTGGCCTTGTCACGTTCATCACGCACAAGGGATTTGCCGTCCTCTTCTTCCTGCCGTCCTGTTGCGTAAACTCACTAATGTCCAAAACTGTGGCCAGTGGTTGCTGTTGCTGCTCATTTCTATTGCGTTTTTCTGTGAGTAGGTGGAATATGATTGTCCAGGTGAGATAGTTCCGGGTGAGTCTAGTCCTAGTCAGTGAGGTAGGAAGAGTCCCACAGAAATCATCCTTAACGAAAAATTTGAAGAAAGGGCGCAAACATTTAATCATATCAGTTTGTTTCCTCAAAATTTCTCATCAGTTGTCGAAAGATCATAAAGTCCTAAAGCTTGGGGACTTTGGCCTAGCCATGCTACTATAGGATCAAAAAGCAGGAAAACTGAAACTGGATCGTACCGCTATATGGCTCCGGAGGTAATGAATTCTGAGGGCAAGTATTCCGAAAAATCTGATGTTTACAGCTTTGGTAAGTATGGGTTACTTTGGTAACAGTGCAAGGTCTTATTTCGTTCCCTCCGAGAATTTTTTGATTAGCATTTTGAAGGCCCTTGGACAGGGTCAGCGCCAACCTGCACGCAAGGAAAAAATGGAGCGTAACTGTTGGATTCCCTCTTCTCTCGCCCTAATTTGTTTTGCAAACTTTGAAGGTCTGAAATTTATGTTTGAGGTGCAGTGGGATCTTTGCATATTAAACAATCACGTGGGACAAAACCACCTTGCTGGCGAGCATGAGACACAGTGGACAAAGACAAACAAAAACAACAACAATACGATGATATCTTATAACAAGCTAATCTTCCTTCTTGCAAGATCCCACTGCATCTTTTTTTGCTCTCGATAGAAATTTTTTTTTTACCTCAGGGCTGTTTTGCTGCAAAGAGCCCATTCTAGCGTTTTAAATGTCTCTTGTGTTACGGCAATTTTTCCTGCTCGACTTTCTTAACGTTGCATGACTTTTTCCTTAAGTGTAAAGGTTGCCAGGTGGTTTTTGCGTTACGTTTCCTCTTTGTAAACGCTGATCCCATCTTGAGCCAATAATTCTGTGGTCATCAAGAAAGAGAGAATCATGCCAACAGGTTTACTTCAAATTCATATGGAAAAAGCTTTTGCAATTGCCAGCTAGGCCACTTCCACTCTTTAAAGAAATGTCACGTCCTTACGTAACCAAAGCAGTCATTCCTGAGTAGTATAGTAGGGATAAAATTAATCTTCTTTAATATCCTGCTTCGAAAGATGCACGTTTTGGTTTTAGGTTGTGCTTGGTTTAACCGGACTGATAGTTTTGAGCTATTTCAGGATTTTTATTGCCTGCCTAAATTTATAGAGCCGTTTGTTGGTTGATTGATTCGAGAAGGAATAAGCGCCAACTCGCATGCCAGTTTCACACACTGTATGCAAGTTTACACGGGACACTATGAGTATGAAACTTTGGTAACTATCAACGCGAGAAATTCTCGCCCGGACGAAACATAGAATGAAGATAACAAGATAATTCATTCTATGTTTCATTCCTTTCACAGCTTAAGATGAACTCAACAAATTGGCCTGATCCCATGTATAGGACTTCATAGCTCAGTTGGTAGAGCACTGCAGCGCTAACGCAGAGGTCATGGGATCGAATTCCGTTCAATGCCCGAAAATTTTTTTCGGGTTATTTTGCAATTGCTAAAATTGCAATTACCACTGCGACGATCATATCTTCATTTAAGTTTGTATTTCCGCAGTTCACATTATCTTCATTCTACATACGTTATGAAACAAAATGATCAACAAAACAACAACAAAATGATCAAATCTACAAAAAGGTTAACGTCATACCTACTAGACTACCTTGCGAGCGACATTTACACTCGCAATTATGCTGACTTTTCACAGGCCCCTTTTTAATTCTCCATCGATTCTGTTTCTTTCGCAGAGACTAAACAGTGAGCTTCTCTTTTCTTTTTAGGGTTATGTCTGGTCGAGGTTGTGAGTGGCAAAACTGTCTTTGATGACATCGAGAATGACTTTAGGGTACTCCGTACAAAAGTCTCCGGCGGGAAACCTAATATTCCGGTAAGGTTGACTATATTTGAGCCCTGATCCTTGCAGGTTAATCCTATAATTTTACATCACAAAATCGATACTACTCGTGATCTTATACGGAGTTTATTTTAGGAAATTTCGGAGACACAATTTGGAGTGGAGGCAGCGAAGATAAGGAAAATAATAGATGAGTGTCTGAAGACTGAAGCCTTCCGTCCCGACATGCACATTGTGCTGACAATTCTTAAGAAGCCGTTAAACGAGATGGATGTAAGCGGTCAAAAAGGTAGGTACGTCGCGAGTGGGACCAGCCAGAGGTTTCTTTAAAACTGTTGGAATGCTCCTACGTAGTGATGCATAGCAACAGACGTTGTAATGGGTTACTGGTCCGATACAATCTTGTGATAAGGTAGATAGTACATTGGACCATGACAATAAAGGGGAACAGTACTTCATTTCGCTGGCAGGGCTTAGATGTAACCGGCTAATTCCAGGCTTCCCGCAAAACAGCAAATGGTAAATAGTAAGCAGTGACTAGACTTGACCCCGGTTGTTCAAACATTGGACGGCGCTATCCCCGGGATAAATCGCTATGCAGCGGATAAGTATTAGCGGGGAACCAATTGCGTTGTTATCAAAGTGGATAAAGATTTATCTAGTGAATGGCGTTACTGATCTACCTTTTGAACAACTGGACCCTGTTAGCTCCCAGTGTACGTTATTGGTCGTCCTGGAGTACATTTGGAACCCTGCATGGGGATCTTGTAGCAAAGTTAGATTCGCTGATTTCGTTCTCGTAGAGACACTTTAAAGAATGTGTCAGATTTAATTTCCATGAATTAGGCTATCGGTAGGAGTTGCTTCTGGGCTAGTAACCTTGACGATGCAAAAAACAAAATCTGCTTTCCACCAAAACCTATTTAAAATTTATTTTAAATACGTAGAAAAAGTGAAACCTGAACGTTGCTTGGGAAAATATTTCACATTTTCAGGACGGACACCCAAGCAAACACACACACACCCGTACGAATAGGAATAAAAGGAAATAGCTAAAAGCCAGGTAGCAAATAATTGTTATATCGCAAAAGGGCATTTTGACCGAAATGGAGCCATCTGCGGAAAACTAACAGTCGTTGATTATAATGTAAAGGAGTTTCACTTTCTTTTCACAAGACGATTTAGTGAATTCGTCATTAGAATTCTATGTCTTGTATGAGTTTTATGGGTTTTAGTATATTCAAGCGTAACAATTGTGGATCCGTTTTATTTGGGGTAAGAAGGAAGTAAATAAAACCATTTTAAAAGGGTATATTCAGACAGAATGCAACAACCTAAATACCTTAACACCTTATATCTATATTTTCCTCTAAACACACTTATATACTTAAATAAACTACGGTTTTCTTTATTTCTTAAAATGCCGCCTAGTATTTAAATTGCCCGTGGGGGGAAATCTCTATTCCTCATAAGCTCGGCTTCTCGGAGATTTCCCCGCCACAGTCACTCCTCCCAAGTAATGTACAAATTTTAAATTTAATGTTAATTAACCTATTTATTATCGTTTTTATTCTGCTTGTAATTCATTGTGTGTGGCAAAATAATAAATAAAATAAAAAGAATTTTGCTATATGTAAAGTGACAAGAAGAAAAAAAACATAGTTTGAGAGATTTCAACAAGGCATAGAAGTGCTCATGGGATCTAGAGAAGTAACTACTCGCATTCAAATGTCACACCTCTATGTATTTCATGTCATTAGATGCCAAGTCTTCCCTATCTCCCGAAGGCCAATAATAATAATCAAGCATCTTAATTTTTTGTCATGAAGATGAGAGATGATTCAGTTTTGCGATTAAAGCCTTTTCCTTATTCGATCATTACAGAGTCTCAACAAGTTGATCCAGGGTCTTGGCGCACGGCTGATGAGGACCGAGTGGAGCTGCGCGCTTCAGAGGCGGTTGGTTCACCTTACCCAGTTGTAGTGCAAGCCTTTAAAGATGGAACAGACCATCCAACCGCGGATGACAAACAAACTGAAGAGCAACCTTCTGGTCTTAGTAGCTCAAGGTATCCTCGTCTTGACCAAGTTATTAAAGACGATATTGGGAATGTCAGTACTTCCAAATCTACAGAAAAACTTACAAAAAGCAGCAATCCGCCTTACCCTACAGTTGTACAGTCTTTCGAAGATGGACAGAACTCTCCATTTAAGGACGACAGGCGATCTGACGAAAAACCCAGCAATGAACCTTATCCTCCTGTTTCACAATCATTTAAATAAGATTGTGATGCTCTGGACTCATTCATAATGAAAGTGGCCGCTTAGTTTATATGATGACCTCTTTTGGTTTTCACGCCACAGCAGCTCACTTACTCAGGTTAACAGATTTAGTTTAGAAACTGCTATCAACGAAAGTCTCATGATTAGGAGTTTCAATTTAAACGTGAGTGCTTCCGTCAGAGCTGGAAGACAATACGGAGATTACAGCCGGTTTGAAAGTAAATTAAGTAAAGAAAATGTAAATGAGCCCCAGGAAATTAGGGTGGGTAATGTCCTTTTTTAAAGAAAAATATGTTAGTTCCTTGCATTTGTGATGTATAAAAGGGGGAAAGCCGTTCGAGTAAATTTCCAGAGTGAAAGCAGATGATAAGCGAGGCCTGAGTTTTTAGTAAGTGCTTCAGCTTATGTTCTTTAGATTTCCTTCTTTGACTGTCTGGAAATAATTTGATCTAGGTCATGAACGGTTAAGGGATGAATCCGGATGGAGACAAGATATTTTTTTATGTGTTTGTCTGCTCCTCTATGTCAAAAATTTTTGCCGATTCGCGAATGGAGGTGCGAAGATATCGACCGGCATGGATATTAACGGGCTTAACCTGGTGCTCGAGAAGTTTTCCTTTGAATTAAAGGTTTTAAACAAACAATTGAACCCGAGGGTAGCCTGCGTAGCAGGGGCTTGCCCCGAGCGGGTACTCCTGGAAATTCTTGGTGAGGGTGTGCCGCCCGGTTCTCCAAATCCTGACCCTGTTTCAGACCAAAAATGTAATTTTCCACACCCGAATTCAGACCAGACCTCTAAAATCCATACCCGTTTTCAGAGCTTGCCTTTAGGTAGAAATTATGTTATCATTACTTAGATTAGAGCGCAAACAAATGAATTCTTCAAATTCATTGCGAATTCGCATATTTCTCTTTCTTTCTTACTCATTTGGAATTGAAACGATAAATACGTTCATACACTCCCGTAGTTTCCTCGAAAACCATACCTGATTCTCTGCGATTCCAGACTAAACTGGGCAAAGTGGATACCCGTTTTCAGACCAAAACGGGACAAAATCCCTACCCGATGGGGCGGCATATACCTATATAGCTTATATAAGGGAGTAAGCCCCCTCCCCCCCCCGGGGGGGCGCTTACCAACGCGACAGTCAAATAATTGTACAGTTGAATAGTTAACTAGGGGTAAGCAGGGGTTACCCTGCGTAGCAGGCTTCGTAAGGGGTACGGGATTGGGAGGAAGGGAAAAAGAGAATGGGATTTTTTTTCCTGCGCTTTTCTCTCAACTTTTCGCGCCTGCCACGCAGGCTAAGTAGTGGTAAGCTTCAAAGAGCATATGGTTCCAAGCTTTCCTTTCGCCTCAACGGACAAATGTAACTCATAGATTATCAGCTGAAATACACAGTACCTCAACGGACAGAGATTTAGACACAACGATCAAATTTAACCCCTCAGAGGGCGAAGAATACTTTGATTAATTGCATGTGGTAACGAAGTCGCTGGTTTGCTTAGCACTTTTCCCCTCTTTTCTTCCGAGACCAGCAAGTGAAGCTAGAGTCTGCAGTTTACGCCGAATAGAAGAATCTTTACCTGGTACATCACCTCTGCTCAATGCAAAGAGAAAAATCTATCCCCATGTAGGTGGATTTGATCGATATCTCCTCACCTCCATTTCAGTATTTGCGAATCGTCAAATAGAGTAGCCAAACACGCATAAATCTCTCGTCTTCCCAACACTGAAATGCTCTAGATAGAATATACCACAAACAATATAGACATCTAGAAAGTAAAAAAGGAAATAACTAAACGCTCACCACGTTGATAATCTGCTTGCTCTCTTGGAATTTACTTGAAATCTTTCGATCTCTTCCACGTGCGTTTTACGTAATGTCATCGCACAGGACTCGGAATACTCCGGATTCGACCGGATAATAAGAAAACCAATGGACTGCGCGTGCTTCTGATCTTATACCCGACAAATTTTGGCTTTTTCCCGCTATTGGAGAATAGTGTGCTGGCTCGTGTAAGGCTTGCCAGCAAAAAGTTGCCAGTTGTAATCTACTTAGAGAGCCGTGATCCTAAAGTTTCTTGTTCACTATAGTGTCAAGAAAAGTTTGCTTCATTTTAGTGTCTATGCTTTGCTTCATAAGACAAAAGAGAACGTTTAGAAAGACGCCGAAATTATTATCTAATTATTATTAGTATTAGTATTAGTATCTGTGTGCAATGAATAACGATCTATGACCGACACATGTATAGCAAGAAATTTAAGGGTATTAATGGTCACCGCATGTTTTTTAGGCGTAAACATTATAGTCTGTAATTGTGTGAACTTGTAAATTTTTAGCTAGTCAATAGTAGAACTGACTGTGTAGCATGGACTTAGAGTGGAAATAAAGACGTAAGAAAGGAACGTAATACAGTCCAAGTTGATCGAACTAGTGATTAGTCACTTTTGAAATGAACATTCCATATTTCAGCAACGCAGTGTGGCCTTTTAAAAGCTTCGTTAAAACGGGAAACAAAAACTTGCAACTTGCGATGTTGCGCGTTTCACCACCCACGTTCAAACCCGTTAACAACCTGATTTGTTGCAAGACAGGTTTGATGTGGGTGATATAACGAGCAACATCGCTATTCAACTCGTTTTGCAGAAGTGTTGTAAGACAAGTTGCATGTTTTTTTGTTGCCCGTTTTTCCGTACCTTTAAGTGTAACCCTGAGGAAGATCGCCCAGTTGTATCAGCGGGAAAACTAACGTCAGTAAGTTCATAGAATGGAAGCGGTCAGTTTTGCATTAAAAAAAGACTAAATCTTGGTATTCCAGCTGCGCTATAGTCTAGAGGTAAGAGGCTCAGCAATTGAAAGAGAAGAGAGGAAAAGGAGAGAGAGAGCCCGGGAATGAGGTTGTATCACAGTCGGCATGTCGTTGACGTAAATAAAAACAGTACCGGCCCTAAAATGGATCCCTGAGGGACCCATTCCTGCACTTCAACCCCCTCTCACCCAGAAACGCCTGGTACTCAGGCGATCTTAAGTTTGTTATTACAAGACATTGTTATTACAAGACATAGATTTCCTATCAGCTCGCTCACAGAGAATCAAACTCTCTGAAGGCTGTGTATCCGAATGGGGCACAGTACCTTCGGGCGTTCCGCAAGGGACCAAAATAGGCCCTTTGGCTTTTTTTGATCATGATTAATGATCTTCCCGTCAGTAATGCTTTTATTTGGAAATATGTAGACGACACCACAACATCAGAGGTAATAAAGAAAGGACAGCGTAGCGAGGCTCAAGGTATTGTAAATGAGGAAGTAAATTGGTCAATCAGAAACAGAGTCAAGTTAAACACAGACAAATGCAAGGAGCTCCGCATTAGTTTTACATCAGATTTTGACTTTCCTCCAGTAGTCATAGGAGAGGAGTGCATCAAATTAGTTAAAGATGCTAAACTTTTAGGTGTTACTATCTCTGGTGACTTAACATGGAATGCGCACATCACGGAAGTTACTAAGAAGGCAGCTAAGAGGCTCTATTTTCTTGTTCAGCTAAAAAGAGCTCGTGCTCCACAGAAAGATTTATGCCTTTTTTACATTACGTGCGTGCGCTCTGTCATTTACTATGCTGCGCCAGTTTTCCATCACGCGCTACCAGCCTACCTTTCGCAAGAATTAGAACGCGTTCAGAAAAGAGCAATGCGAATCATATGTCCTGGTATAGAATATCAGCAAGCTTTAGCGCTTATGAGTTTACCAACGGTTGCGGAGCATCACCACAACATTTGCACGCGCACGTTTGAAAGCATAATGAGCGACCCGAACCACAAGTTAAGAAAGTTGTTGCCGCCTCTTTATAAGAGCAACTATAATCTAAGGCACGCGCGCACTTTCACTTTGCCGCGTTGCAAGACAAATAGATTTAAGAACAGTTTTTTTATGGCCTCAGGCAGAATTGTAAATAATTTTTAGGTTTCTTATTATACGTTTTTAGTTTTAGCTATTACAATTATTGCCCATTTTTACAATTGTTAGTATAAATTATTATCATTATGTAAATACGCAATTCAGCTTATGCTGCAATGTATCTAATAGAGCACCTATCTATCTCACATTTCGCAAAACTGTATTTCACATTTCCTTAACAAATAATGTATTGAATCTGCAAATTACAAAATGTACAAAACCTAGGCGTGCCAAAGGGCTCATCCGTAACTAACTTTACTTTACACGTTTGGCTATTTAATTACTAGTAATCCTTGTTTTCTCTCTTTTGATGTTATGTTAAAATCCTTTCAAACTCCTTTATTTTCCTTTAAATATAGCAAATCGTTCCCAAAACATGTTTTGCTTTCTCAAGACTTATCCTGTGGCAATGTTTACAAAAATCTTATTCTACAAAAGTTTATAAAAGGCAGCTCCACCTGTTATGTCTGCCATGTAAAAGGTACTACAGCAAAGATCCGAGAGTAAGAACCTGCATTTTCCCAAGTTAGCCTACACAGGTTCTTTCTTAAATGTTAATAATTAGCACAAATTTAGGCTACTTAGGTTCTTATTTTCCAAAGGAAAAATACATTGTAGCTATTCTGGTTTAAATAGTATTCAGTGTATTCCTTATATAAATTTGGCATACCATTTCATTTCAGTTGGAGTGAAAAAGCTTGTGGAAAGTCTACAGAATTTATTTTTATAGAGTTTAGAAAATAAGAACCTGCTTCAAATTTTATGCTAAACAAGTTCTTTTAAAGAAGGGGCTTAACTGGCAAGTTTTAGCCCAACAGGTTCTTAAAAACCAGTTTCTTACTCATCGGTTTACTGTATACCTTTGGAATATGTGTTTAAAATCCTAAGAGGCTATTTGCATGATGGCATCATTTACTACTATGACCAAAATCCCTCAGGGTTTTCCTTTCTTGTACAAATTACGGCTTTTGTCATATAAATTTCGCTGGGATTACCAAATTTAAATATGAAAAGAAAAACAAAAAAGATTCTGGTCATAGTAATAAAATGATGCCACCATGCAAATGGCCTATTAAAGTGTGACAGGGCTTGAAAAAAAAAAATAAACATCCCAACAGGTCAAACTGATTTGAGAACAGCTTGTCCAAAAGTTTTTTTCAAGCCCTGGTGTGATTATTCAAATGAAAACCAAGGAGTGCTCTTTCTGGGACACTGTTCAGTACTCTGAATAATGAGGTTCTAAACCTTTTTGCATGTGAATGAAATCCTACATACATGGCTTATCTTGACTATAATACAATTATCAACAACAAAAAGATATTTTCAGAAATACCAAAAAAATGGGGTGGTACACGCTAGGCGTAGCTACAGTTGCCAGAAGAAAAAGATGTAAAACAGAATTTCTTTGCACCTTGTAATGGCAGATCTAGTGGGAGCTGTATAAAAGGACCCAGACCTCTCACTCTAGTTATTTAATACACAGGACCTAGCACAATTTATTATTTTACATTTAAAATCCTAGCTGAACATTATTTTAATTTCTTTACGTCCAGTGTTCTCCATCCTTCACAATAGGCAGGTTTAGCAAAGACTGCAACAACAAAGACAATCTCCTGAGCAGATCTTGAAACCAACTTGAACAATAGAATAACAGCAAATTGGGTGCTACCCAAAGTTGGATTCAGTCCTTTCAACATGCTGTTGCTTTCTTGTTTAACCTTAAGTTGTCTTTGCTAAATCTGCCTTGTGTCCTTGAGCTACCACTTATACCCATTACAAGCTATGGAAGTGTGGTGTTTTTATTCATATAAAATTAGACTTGATTTTGTTTGGTATCATCCTCCACGGCCAAGTTATCAAGGCTGCGTGATCGTGGCCCTCGAGGCGGTGGTTGAGGTGGAGGTTCACTTTGCTTTTTAGTGTTATCAGCTTTCTTTTCAGGTAAACATGGCTTCCATGTCTCCCCTGCTATTGCTGCTCGCAAATATATCAAACTTGTAAAAACCAGACTTGCACCTCCAAGGATTGTTGATAAAAAGAAGCATGAAGGTACAGAGGCACTAAAACAGAAAACAGTATAATGTAAACTTACTATTCTTGGTTCATGGCATCACCAAAATTCAAACTAAGAAACTATCGATTGCTTCTTCTGAGTTTCTACTTTCATGTGATATTAGAGCACCTTAAAACCTTTATACAAATAAATTTTCGGTTCAAAAGGGTTGTTTGTTTGCGATACAGGACGCTTGAATTTCCAGGCTTTTGCGTGATGCGGCATTTAGCAGGCGGCTGGGAAAGCTCTTATGTGGGTTAAAAACATTACGGATTTTTGGAGATTTTGCTATCTGAACATTCCTTGTCTTAGAATAAATATTGCTTTAATCTTTATGAGTTCCTCAAGCGACGAATTCACACATAAGTAGGAAAACTCAAAAACAGATGTTTCTGTTGGTTTCCGGCGGCCATATTTGTGCCCCTGAAAGGAACACAAACATGGCGTCTCCACACAAAACTATATAAATTTGGGTAAAACGTTTTTCCGAATATCTCGCATATGAACTATTGCATAGACCTGATTCTTGGCAAGGCTTTTGGTATATTTATCCTCTTTCAATTCCCAGATTCGAGACTTTCTGTATTAAAAAGTTTCCATTCTTATTTCTGCTTTCCCACTTGAGTGAAAACTGAGAATTACAGAGCTATCACTTTGAAAAAACAAGAGCATATATCTAGTTAGATAGTTAAATGATTGTCCCATGATACTTACGGCAAGCAATGGACTTCATAAAACAGGTATTTTAACATTTTGATGATCCCTCTTTCTTCTTATAATTAGGTTTCAGAAGTGCTTTTGATAAATTATTTTACACTAAATGCCTCTCAAACGAGACAAAATCAATACATGAGGCTAGCCCTGCCACAACTTTGAGTATTAACAGAAAAATTATGGTAATTGTAGCAAGGGCCAGGCAATCATTTTTTAACTAAATCATAAACTAAGACACACATTCAATGGCCCCAAAAAGCAAAATATGAGAAAAGCTTTTCAGGCACTGGTGTGATCATTCAAATGAAAACTAACGAGTACTCTTTTCTGAGATACTGTTGAATATTATAATTCTGAATAATGGGGTTCCAGAATTTAAACCTTTTGTATAATATTACGGATATGAAATCCTACAAATGTGAATTTCCTGACTACATCTACATCTACATCTATTTTATTAGTAGGCAGAAACTATGTACAGTTATCACACTAATATAAATTGAGAAGAAAAAGATTTAAAATTTAGTAAAAAAATAAATAATAATAATAATAAAAAAATAAATACTGGTAGAGGGTCACCTCTTACTAATCTCCTCATAAGTATTCACTTAACATGCTCTTAAAAGTATCATAAGATTAGCAGATACAATGTCAGAAGGGAGGTAGTAACTATAGTAACTAGTAACTAGTAACTAATTAACTATCAGAAATGCAAAAAAATCAAAAATCACAAAAAAATTATCTATATGTTTGAAAATACTTAAAAATAATCACAATAAAAAGATTACCAGAGTCAACATGAGTCAGAAGTCTCAATCTACATTTGAATGGTTGTTAGACTTAAGACTTATTGAGTCACACGCTCATAAACTTTGGATATTAATGGCAGAATTGCTGTAATTAAGCTGTCTGAGTAAATAAACGTGATCAGAAAAACGTGGTGGCCAATTAAAGTGCTAATGGCATATTGAGTATTAAAATATTAATAATTGCTACTTACAGAATGTAAAACACAAATCGAACCCAGTAATTTCTTCCAAGGACTCCAAAGAACTGGACAAACCTTGTAAAAGGTTTCTGGTTCCTGAAATAGCATTAAAAATAATCTTTATAAATAGTACTATCAAGCTTGCATTATTTGTGTAAGTAGCCAAGGCTTTCTTGATAACTTGTAAAAAGATAAAAATAAAAATTTATTGCCACCTCACTTTATAAATATTGTTTCTCAAACTTGATGGTACGTGATAACAAGCATGCACAACATATAAATTGCTGAATCACAAGATATTAAACACAATCACTTTACACATCTTACCATCTTTCAACGGTCTTTTTCCCTTTCTCTCTTTTTCCTCTTGGATACTCAATCACCAAAATAAGAATTCCTAAACCTCTGATCAAACTAGTTAAAGAAGTTTCACATTTCCTGGAACAACTTAAAAGAAACTTGTATATTTATCTGTTAGGCTAATACCACAAACACAAACAATGGTTATGTTGGATGATCAATATTATAAAATGGTAATAAACCCAGTAGTGGGCATAATATCTATAAATTAGTGGTGTTCCTATACAAGTTATTCACAGTTTTAATTCAGGAAATATTGGAGTTGCATTTAGTACTCAATAATACAAGAACAGTGACTATTAAATTGTTCTTGTGATAATACACTGTGAGGTGCAAAAAAGACCCTGAATCCAACTCACTTGTACAAGCTCTTTACTACAGTGTAACCGATATCACAGGACAGATCAATTAAAAAACCAGAGCGGATTTGTGTCTGGTTATCATTCAGCTTTTGAGGGTGTTTTAGAGACCACTTCTTTAATGAAATTAAAGGATCTGTGTCACCACATATATGATAATTTATATGATGGGAACTGGCAGCAACAAGTGATATTAACATGACAAAAGAGGCTCGGATAGACAAACTTGACACAAAGCTGTGATTTTGTCATTCACAAGTTATTCTTTAAGTTCCATAGTGAACAAGGATGTGTAATTGGCATTATAATATTAGCAGAGTGAATTAGACAGCACGTGACATGTTATTTATAGTGAAAATTAATAGTAACACCAAACCAGCTTGATAGAAGTTTTTTAAACTTTGTGAAAAGTTGATACTTGAAATTCAGTGCCAACAAAGGGATTTTAATACCAAAATAGTTGAGTTAATAACAAGGGTATTTTTGATGGGCATCATTGTTACGTTATAATACAGACGTCAAGTAAAAGATGACCATAACTTCTTTACAGTCACTGACCCTTTCTAAAATTATATTATCAACTTATATTATATTATCACTCATCTACACAGTGTTGAAAAATTGTTCATGTCAATGCTAAATGAAAATAATAAATGCTAAATTCATTGATAAAAATGATAATTGAATTTGCACATTATTACCAATATTCATCATCCTTAGGAAAAATATTATTCCTACTTGAGTCATAATGACGCATACTGATATTGTCTACGTATTCCGTTTAGGATCACGACTTGCGTCAAAACAGGTATTAGCATAAACACAATCTAACACCCATGCCTACACATACTTCAATGGAAGTAGAAAAAGATACAGAGAGTAGGCTGCAAAATACCATTTGTCAAACTGTGCGGCTGTTCCAAGTATTCCTCCGATAAGTAAAACTGAAATGGGAATAAAAATAGGTGAATATAAGCTTTACTTTAATAGGGAAGTGCTTAAGCTTATATTGGCCTGTCAAGTAGCAAAACGTGATTGTGAAAGGTCACTGATGTGTCACATCAACACGACAAAAATTTCAAAGCACGAAATTTTAGAGGCGATGAAAGGATTCAACGTTTACAAAGACTAAACACACAAACACACACACACAACTATCCTCGGGTATCATTGGAGTTCAAAGAAAAACAACTGCGGCAGAAAATGACCACAAATGAAAAATGCTTATGTTACGCTCACTCGACTTTGCAGGCTTTTGGTTCATCGAGCACCGTTGGTCACCGTTAATAAAAGCGACTCAGATCTTACGTAAAATACTATACATGAAAGTATACCAGCTTGGCTTTGCTATTTAAGTTTAGGTAGTAACCAGTTTTCTAACACTCATACTTACCAACACTGGCGATAACACCTTGTTCATTAGCCCACATCGCCCATTCTGTACCCATTTTCAAGACTTCAGGAAATTGAAACCTGTTGCCGTGAGCTTGGAAATTCTTTAGCTTTGTACACAGTAGAGTTTGTATGAGATGATTTAGAGCCCTAAAAGCCTCAACGACGGCTTGACGTCAAGACTACACACAAGAGACGAACACTCTCTGTCAAGTACTACTGCTGACTGCTTTGCTGTTTATAGGAACTCGCGAGGAACTCGCTAGGAACAACCAACTGTGTGACGTGAGCTGAACTATTACATAAACTTGCCAAATTAGGTCATGGTTTTTTGCGTGACAGGAAGCTGTGAAGGAAGAGACTGAAAGCTAGGGATTCATTTTAGCAGAAAACTAAAGAAAAATGCAAAACTACCTGGTTTCTTTTGAAGTTTCAAAAAAATCTTTTCACGTTTTCTCTATACGAAATGAAACAATGTAGTGGAGGTTTTGCTTAATAGGTCTTAATACTCCATGCTAAGATTAGGCTCTATTATTTGTGGAAACTATGATACATTTTTCCCTACTACATGTATTGCTATTCGTAAGGAAGCAAAATTTAAGCTCTAAATATTTTTATCTCGGACTTCGTATTTCAATGGTTATTATGTCACGCAAATTATTCTAACGTGACTGCGCCCGCAATAAAAGATAAAATGCCATGCGCAAAGAGAAGTAAACATCACATGTACATTTTCGCGCCAAAATTAGAGCAAAGAACCGGCAATCATGTCTTCTGTGGCGGCGATGGAACAAGCGACTTTAGGTCAATATTTTAGCACAAGAAAGAAAGGTCTGGAAGATTTCCATCCTGCAAAGCGAAGGAAAGTTGAAGCGACAGGCATTGAAAGCGAGGTTTCTATCAGAAGGAGTACGCGAGCGAAGCGGCAAGTGGCGTCCTCTCAAACAAAGAGCAACGCTCGAGCTCGCAGAGGAGCTAAAAGCAGAGCGAAAGAATCTTTGAATGAAAGAAATTGCAAATCTTCTGAAACACTAGATAACAACGTTGTTAGCGAAACAACGTCATTGTGTGATGATCATGCTTTCGCCGAAGCTTTGATCGGAAAGTTATCGGATGCGCAGCGAAAGCGCAAGATGGCGTCCAAAGGAATAGTTGAAACTGACGATTCCACCGCGAGCGTCTCCAGGGACAGAAAACAGGCGCAAGAAAATAGTGAAGACGTCGAGCCCAAGCAAAGGAATCGGAAGCGAACGCAGAGATCTTCAAAGAAACCACCAAAAGACACAAAAAGTATGGAGGAAAAGTTAGTTTCTTCCCAGTCAAAGACGGATTGCTCAGACGAGCAGACGTTGCGCGAGTCCGATATCCCAGCCAACAGGGAAGCAGAAATTCAGTCGTCACCTTGCAAGACTCCACCTATTGTGAGAAGGATCGATGGAGGCGTAAAAAGTAATCCATGGATCGCAGAGCAGGCAAGAATGGTTCTAAGCCGAGGTAGAGCAGCAGTGAGTATGAGTCAACAAGGAAAGAGAAAGATCAAGGATTGTGTTCAGATCACTTCCACCAATGAAAGCAATTCAGGTTAATATTCTCATCAGATGTAGTATGTCTTAGTTATAAAGGATTCAGAAAACTGTTCTCAGCAGTCTTGGAGACGCACGCATAATTAGTAGCAAAAAAAGAGAATGGTTTTGCAAATCCTTTTTTCAAATTCCCAATAAAATGGCAATCCAGCTCCTCGTTTAGGACTGGTTTTTTATAGCCAAAATCTGGCTTCACAGGCCAATCCGTTTTTTGCATTTTACTGCAATTTCAAAATGTGGATTTCACATACTAAATCCAGTTTTTCCAATCAAATGTACTCTTAAGACAAGCATCCACATCCCGCTCGGAGCAAGAGAAATTTGAGAGCTGCTTATCCTGAAGGATTTTATTTATTTATTTACTTTATTTTTTTCCAAGCCAAAAAGGCTGGCTGTTTCTCTAGTTAGTTAGCAAGAACAGTACAGTGTGGAAAAGAAGCTTCAAATTTTTTAGTCTGTTGGCAAAGTGATGGAGCATTTTTGTTAATATTCTAACTGGTCAGAGAATTTTCAATATGACATTTTTTTTGAGACCTTAAAAGGTACTCAAAGTTGGCTGCTAGCACACATCAGATTTCACATACATGAACAGTGTACTAGTTCTTTCATACTTTAAGAGACTGAATAACATACCATTCCATTTTCTTGCAGTGAGAAGCTCTAAAACTGGAGGAAATGCCACCAAAGCTGAAGAAGATCTCGCGAAGGCAAGGAAACTGATCAAAAGCATGAGATCACTAGAAAAAAGTGCATCCAAAAGTTCACAATCTACTACTGAGGATAATAAACAGAGGCTTCACCAAGTCGCACAGGAGGTTCCAGCCTATGAAAGATTCCATGCCCTGGCTCAGCCCAGTCCAACAGCGGTATCACCTGCAACTTTACCCCTCCCCTACAAGTACAAGAGTTTGGCAGAAATGTTCCGCTGCACTGATACAGTGCTGAACCTGCTGGGACAACGGAAAGAGAAGTGTACGTTCTCAAAGCTCAGAGATGCTGTACAGCAGATGTCCAGAAAGTAAGATTGTGAACATTCATTTTTGATCTGTGGGGGTTGCCTTTGTTGAACAATACAATCTACATCTTAAATCAAAGGTCTTCTTAAGGGATAAGCTTGTTGCCAATGCAATGATTAAGATAGGGTTGTCAGTAAGGGCCAGGGTTTTTCCCTGGCTCAGTGTTCTCCCTAACTTTTAGCTCAGCAGGTAAAGGACCATTCATGGCCGGAAAGGCAAAAAATATGCACCAGAGGCACAATTTTCCGGGGGCGGGGGCGGGGGGGGAGTGTAGTGAGGGACATGGCCCCGCTGTAGCTGAAAAATTTAGGAGCTAAGTTCTCGGAACGTCATTCCCTCATTTTAAGACCTATTTTACACAAATTGGCCATTGTCGTCCTTAGATAACAATTTAAAACGTTTAATTCCAATAATTTTACTCTGTCTTCAATGTTCTCTTTCCAAAATGCTTGGCCAGGTAAAAGAAAAGCTGTGTATACTCTAGTACTTTTCATATATTCATTCATTTCCTTGTGGGAATTGGCTGATCGGATCACCACTTGCATATTTTTTAAAACTACTGTTGTGTCTTGATTGCATATTGAAAACAATTTGAATGGATTATTAAGTCTGCACAAGGAACACTCCGGATCTAACCTGCCATGCTTTTAATAATCAGTCCCATGATCCTTTGTACACTCCGATATCATGTAAGCTATACTGAAAGTACACTACATCCTTTCCTTTTTCGGAACACCATATACCAGGGAAACATAAAACGGCCTTAGAAAATACTAGGAGAAACCGAAACAAACTGCATAGCTGCACAACTAGTGTAAACTTGACTTCACTGGGATGAAGTTGTGCAGTTCAATAATAACACTAGTGAATTAACTTAACACTGTCTTAGCAAGATACTAATAGGTCTAATAAGTCAACTCATATCAAAGTCTTGAACTTCTCTGGTAACTTCTTAAGACAAACGGGTCAGGTAGCTATAGCAGTTCTAGCTTTTCCACAATCCGTCTCAAGGTCTGTCGGGGCTGGTCTCTTTGAGACAGCATTCCGTTCCTTTCCGCCATCTGCCTCAAGATCCGTCGGTAGAGTAGGACTCTCTACGTGAACATCCTCTTCAACAGGCAGAGAAACAGTCTGACTTGGCATGAGTGGCAGTTCCTCATACTTTTTGACGTGCGCAGTGTTCCTTTTTAACTGGACACCCCCAGGAGACTTGATAATAATGCTGCTGCCATTCCTGCTAACAACGTCATATGGTTCTGGTGCAAAATAATGGTGTTGAAAACTTGTTTGCTTCTCTTGTTTTTGTAACACTCTGTCACCTAGAACCAGACCTGAATACTCTGCATGCCCCTTCTTGTCTGCATATAATTTAGCTTTTGTTTTCATTTCTCTGTCTCTGACTTGGACTTCACTCGCTACACAGTGTTTGCCGAATTCAGGTAACTTGGTCTGGATTTTTCTTCCAAACAAAAGTTCAGCTGGCTTCACTCAAGTGGTGGTGTGAGGAGTCGATCTATATGCTATCAAGTTTTTTTGAACTTCTTCCTTTCACTGTTCGCCCTCGGCTTGCGCGATCTGCATCCTTTTCAAAAGAGATCAGTTCTGCCTTCCCACCTCGCTATTTGCTTTGGGCCATAAAGGCGTGGTCTTCCTGTGCTCATTACCACATCCTTCCAAATATCTTTCGAACTCACTTGAAATAAACTGCAGCCCATTGTCTTTGGTTACTGATAGTGGTAAACCATGAATCATGAAGATTCTCTCCAGACTCTCAATGATCTTCTCAGATGTTGTGGAAAACAGGATCTCAATTTCATAATATCTGCTGAAGTAGTCAACCACGACTAACCAGTGCTCGACTTTCAGAAAAAAATCGTGGGGCCAGCTGGCCCCCAACTTTTCATTTTTTGTCGCCAGAACAAGTATTCTGGTGGCCAAAAATTATATTTTAGAATTAATGGATTTAGTTTTCTGAAGGATAACGGATTATCATTAGTGTACGTTTTCCCAAAGAAGAGAGTCACCTCTTGATGGACCAGGCATGAAAGGACCCAATAAATCCAGGGCCAAGTCTTCTCATGGACCTTGTGGACCAATAAATCCAGGGCCAAGTCTTCTCATGGACCTTGTGGTAAGGGAATTGACTTGATTGGCTTGGGGTGGGCAGGACTGCTTACTGCTTACTAGCTGGCATCCAAAACACTTATCAAAATATCCAAGGGTTTACAGTGCACTTGATAATCTGGTCTTCAGCTCATTGAATGCTCTTCTCTGCTCATCTCCAAACCTGAAACGAACGCCTTTCTTTGTTAATTTACACAAAGTTTCACCTATGGTGGCAAAGTCCGGGATAAACCGTGCCTTGTAGTTAGCTAGATCCGAGGAAGCTTCTAACTTTGGAGGCATTCTGTGGCTCTCTTGCCCTAACAACACCTTTCACTTTCTCTTCAGTTGGTCCAATGCCCTTGTTTATTAGTATCAGTCCCATAAACACTAGCTTGGTCGTGTGAAACTTGCACTTTTCTGCATTTACTGTCAGGTTTTACTCTTTCAATTTCTCCAAAACTTGCTTTAACCTCTCATCATGCTCCTCAGTGGTTTTTCCATGCACAATTATGTCATCAGAGATGTTTCCAACTCCCTCACAGTCACTAAGCGCTTGCTGAATAACATGCTGATACACTTCTGGGGCTGAACTTATTCCAAACATCAGGCGCTTATGCTGAAACAATCCATGATAAGGGATCAAGGTAGTAATGCTACAGGAATCTCGATGGAGTTCTTTCTGATGGTAACCCATTTTAATCAAGCTTGCTAAACACTGTGCTTTGGTTGAGGCTTTGGAGTACTTCATCCACAGTAGGTATGGGGTAGCGTTCTCTGATTATCACTTCATTGGCCCTACGCATATCCACACAAAGCTGAATCTTATCATTCTGTTGTGGTACCACCACTACTGGACTAACCCATGGTGTCAGGCCCTTTACTGGCTCAATAATATCCATGCTTACAAGTTCCTCGACCTTTTTCTTCACCTTGTCACGGAGGCTGAACAGAGTGCGCCTGTCTGGCTGAGCCACCGGGGGTACATTGGGACTGACATGTAACTTGACCTGATAGTCTTTTAACTTGCCCGCACCATCAAACACTTCTTTGTAATCTGACATGATCACTTCTTTGGACTGTAGTGTATAGACTGGAACACCGAACTTCAACAGTTTCTCTTCCAAGCAGTGCTTCTCCTTCACCATCAATGACAACAAATTCAGCTTGAACCTCATTCTCAGCTACTTTTGTTGATACTGAAAATGTCCCCAAAACTTTTAGCGGCTCCTTGCTTCCGTACGCATAAAGCCTCTTGTCACACTTCTTGGATACACAGGCAATCTTCTGCTGCTTTAGTTCACTCCATAGGCCTTTGTCTACAACATTAGTGCTTGCCCCCGAATCAATCACCATTTTCAGAACACACACCCACAATCACCTCTACTTTTTCAGGTTGTGACATCGATTTTACAGTGAACACATACTCATCTTCCTCGTCATTGTCTAATCCCTGCATGTATCTTGCCTTCCCCTTCTCTTTTAGCTCCTTATCGGTTTTTGGTTTGCCTGTCTTGGTTCTGCATTTCGCAGCAAAATGATCAGCACCACCACATGTTTTGCAGGTCTTTCCTTTTGCAGGACATTCAGGATCTCTACCAAAATGTCCCGTGTGGCCACATCTATAACGTATGTTTTGTTTTCTCCCGACTTCTTCTTCCCTTTATGGTGATGCTTGCTTTCACATGAGTCCCAAATCTGATTCACATTAGCGGTTTTACCCATCATACATGTACTCTCCAACTGAGCTTGCACGGCTTCATAAGATGCTGCTGTTTTAAGAAGAACATGTAGGGTTAAAGTGTCACCTTTCTTTTACAATTTCCACCTTAACTCATGGGGCGTACTCCGCTGAACAACTTGATCTTGAGTTTGATTATCCCCCTGATCACCATAATCGCAATCTTTCACGACCTGTTGTAACCTTGTGACAAACTGAGCCACCATTTAACCTTCACGTTGTTCCATACTCCGGAAGACATGATTTTGGTATGTCGAATTTAACCTTTGGAATGAAATACACATTTAAAGCATTAATTTTACAGCTTTCTCATACTCGGCCGCTGTGCCCATGTCAGCCAAAATCTTGAAGATTTCTTGTACTTGTTCCCCAGCACAGTGCAGAGGTAGAGCTCTTCGTTGTACTTTATTGTCAGCTTTATGTGCTTGAATGATGAGGCCTTTGCTGTCAGCACATAATGAAAAACTTTAAACCCATCGTTGCCATGGCCTGCCAATGCTCAATGGGTCACTGTTTGGGTCGAACAGTTTTACACTCGTCAGTAGATCATCTGCCTTGGTTGAGGCCATACTTCAGTTAACTGGACGTAAAAGAACATCCTCGTCACCAGATGTTGTCTTAATCACATATTGAAACCGATTCGAGTGGATTATTAAGTCTACACAAGGAACACTCCAGATCTAACCTGCCATGCTTTTAATGATCAATCCCATGAACCTTTGTACACAGATATATCATGTAAGCTTTACTGAAAGTACACTACAACTACTAATTTAATTTTAGTAAACCTTCAAGCGGTTGCAGGCAGTAAGAAGTGTTGCTTCAGGTGGTAATTAATTTTACCACTTGCGTCCTGATAAGGAGAACATTGACTGGCTACTATGATCATCACCCCAGCTATTTTCATCGCAAACAAAATGAAAATAAGATCAAAAGAACTGCATATGTCTGGGAATGTGAAATCTTAATTACAACCCTGAATAAAGACACTCGCGAAAGGGAAGCAAATAGTTCGTGCCAAAATGACGTCACCTGTTTCTATTTTTTGCAGGGGAAACAAGTTGAACTCCTGGTCTCTCGCTCACTTTTGCCACAGAAAACGAAAAGTCTACAGCTTGCACTTTGTGCTCGTGAAAAAATTTGAGTTCGACTTGTAGGCAAGGCTAAGTGTGGTCCCGAAGAGGACTGTTGTTGACAGTGACTGACATCTCTTCTTAGATTTGTTTAGCATCATATTTTTGGAAAGGCCTTTTTTCTGTCTAGAAAATTAGTCAAACTTTTTTATTTCTGAATTAAATAATTATAGGAGGTTTGAGAAGAAACATTTGGCACAGATGAAAACTGTATATCCATCAGCCCTAGAATTCCGTCAAGACAAGTGTCCTGGGAAATCTTCTTCATTTGAGTTGACCATTGAGTTTGGAAAAACAGAGGAGGCAGATAAGAAACTAACGTTGACTGCAACTGAATTGCTAGCAAGGAAAGATGCTTTTGAGAAACGTCTACTGAAATTAACCAAAAAGCACCACCAGGTACTACTCCACAATTATATATGTTCTGTTGACTCATTAGTGTTGTAAACTTGAAATACTTTTGAATTTTGGCAAAAAAACCTTTTGAAGCTAGTTGACCATCTTCTGACCACTCCTTTCTGGCTATAAAGTGCCAAAACGTCCTAAAATGTAGCTTTAAGGTCAAGCACTAAATTGTGGCCTTCTGTTCCAGATGCAAAATATCAGCTTCTGAAGTTAAGGCATGTACAGAAAGCAAAATTTCCAGCCAGTTTTTGGGCTTAAAAGTGACACAACACTAATGGATTTTTGCCTTTCTCTTTGTCTTCTCCCTTTTTTTTTTTGTTTTGCTTTGCTGGGCATTTACTGGGCTTCATTTTGGTGAAAAAAGTTTGAGAGAAAGCCTTTAGCATTGTCAGATTAGATGGAAAAAAGTGCTGTTTAGTAGAGGAACTAGATGTCAGATTTTTCCTTGAGTGTTAAAACTTAAATTCTTTTGCTTATTCCAGGATTTTCTCCAGAATGTTAACCCAGCTGTAGTGGTTGATGATGAGAAGATCATGCGATGGCACCCCAAATTTCGACTAGATGAAGTTCCGGATGTTGATGAAACTGCTCTTCCTCAGCCGCCAGTGGTCAAGACATACAGTAGTGCTCATGACGTGTTGGAGAAAGCACGAGTCATGATGGCGCCAAGGGTATACACCTATTTGAGATATTAATACAATAATTTAAGTGTTATGCTTGATGTAGCTGTTGGCTTCCCTGGTTTTGTTTTCCTGCCCTTCAAAGTCACATGACCTGGTCTTTAGCTCTTTTTCAATGTTATAAACAATTTTTTTTTGGGGGCATTTCAGATCAGTGTTAATTGACTTCAAATCTTTAAAATTGCAGTAAAAGTAGATGTCTCCATTGTTGGGGTCGTTTTATTATTCAGATCAGTACTCACCAAAAAGCTATATTGGCACAAATCAAATCTTTAACCATCTATTGTCATAAAAATAGATGTCTGTGTACAGAGTGAATAATTTGTCGCCACACTTGAAATAATATGTTCAGTGAAAATAACCCATTACATGTTGATTAAGTTTTATATGTAAAAAGTGAAAAACATTTCAGAAAAAATAGTTTCGTTTGTTTTTCGATAAAGAACAAGTCGGCGAAACAACAGCAGAAACGGAAAAACAGAACAAGACATAAGCTTTTGTTTATTTTTTTAACTTTGCCTTTATTATAATCATGAAACTGGCCATTTTTTTTCGCTCATTTTCAATTGTGCATTGAGAACAAACAGTTAAGATTACTTATAGTTCTTGGATTGGATTAGAATCCTTACAGGACATCTTGTCATTTTACGGTAAGTGTGTAGTGGCAAATTTTAGCATTTTTTATTTAAAATAAAAATACAAAATGATGGATGTCTCAGCATGTTTTATTGTGGAAACATCGCGGTATTTAAGACTGTTGTTTTTTGTATCAGAAATCTTTCTCGTTCGCTGCGCTCACTCTTTCGATATCTGATACGTCAACAACTTGTGCGTAAATACCATATGCCAGCACTTTCCATGAAGTATTCTCTATATACTACACTTGAAATAATATGTTCAGTGAATATAACCCGTTACATGTAGATCAATGTGCAAGGTAAAATATTTTCAAGAGCAGTAAAAAGATTATTTATTTAATATTATAATCATGGAACGTTTTTCCCCAACTGAGGTGGTGTGTAGAATCCCAGGACATCTTGTCAGTTACAGTGTGCTTATTATACCAGGATGTATTTTTATTGTACATCGTCATCTTGTACAGATTGTAAGACAGAGTTGTCGTGAGCATAATAATTAAAAAATCAGCCCAGTCAAAATGAGCCGGCAGCTGGCAATTTTGCTGCTTCCAGTGGAATATTGTGGCCTTCTCAACACTTGGGTTTAATGTTATTACACCTGTAAACGAAAATCACACAAGTTTGGACCTTTGTTGCAGCTGCTCCGTACTTTATCCTGCTTACCTCTGCAAATATTTTTTCAGGGCTGGTAAAAATATGTTGCTTAAAATGATGCTTTCCTTAGTTTTCTTGGTCAATGTTTATTTTGTTTAGGTTGAGAAAGCATTACGAACAGTTGCCAAGGAACAAGACGAGAAAGAGCAGAAAAATACCAACAAGCACAGTAACCTGCCTGAGGACAAAGATGCAAAAACCAAGGAGAATACACAGAACAAAAACAACTTCAAAAATAATGCAGCCTTGAAAGGGATCTCACAAGATTTGCTCAATAAGGTAAGTGCAAAGCCCACAACACATCATCAGAAGCTCATTGCAGACTGCATAGATGTGTCAATTTGAACTCAAACTGTTGTCATCTTTACTGTTTCAGTAATGGTCTTGACCCTTGAAAGCAGCTCTCCCCTGTCATTTTAATAATAGATAGATTTAGCCAAGACTTAAAGCAAAGCTCTTGTTAATAAATTTATAATTTACTTCAAACAATAAACTTATAGCCATTACAAAAAAATTCCACTTGGAGTTGAGCCAGCAATCAGTTAAAAACTGACAAAAATTATTTGTCAGTGGATAACTTCAAAAAAACATGTCATCTTGATGGGTTGACACCTTAGCCTGCAATATGGTCATGTGAGACTGGTCAGCCAATACCATGTTTTGACAGCTGTCATAACGTGGATGTGCACTATCAGGGTACAGGCTCCCACACTGGCTTGAAAGTGTGAAATTTTACATTGGTTGCCCTGTGGTGAAAATTTCTTGGATGGATAGATTTCCACATTTTCTTACATTTGGGGTTACACTTACAAGCTTGGAACACAACTGAAATGATGGGGTACTCATTAGTTAACATGTGTCTATTTGTGAGAATTTGTTGATGAATATTGGAGCTTGTTACAAAAGGGTTTATTCATGTCCTGTTGATTTTAGATTCGCCAGAAGGAAGCAAAGAAAATTGAAGAATGTATGATGCGAGATCCATTAGTTGACAAGAAACTTGCCATGAAAGAACGTCTTCCTGATTTGTGTAGAATACTTAAGGCGTATCCTTTATTGACGTGAACATTATGAACATGAATAGGCCAAGTGATGCTTTTTTCCCCGTAAGACAAAGTTTTAACAGTAAACAAACTTAACCAATATTTCCTTGACTGTGACCTAGTTATTTTGTGACTGAGCGCAAAGCAGCTATCCCATTGGAAGATGCAACAGCAAAACTATCAGAAAGCTACAAGACCTCCTTGTCTCAAGGTATGCATTAGACCTTTTTCTTTCAATAACATCCTTAAATAATCAGTTAGAAACTGAACTTACCAAGTTTTACAGTTAATTTTAAAAAAGGTGCATTGCTGTTTAACGTGGGGTTTCTGTGACATTAATAGTATTATTGCAAGAAACAGAATGTTGCTTGAGTTAAATGTATTCATGATGTTTGCTGAACTTATTGGCAACTTATCATTATTATTATTAAAATTATTATTATTCAAAATTCCACAAGGGGATTTCATTGGTGGCTGCCTTTTAAATGCTACCCGGGCGTGTGTGATAATGGCTTGAGCTCCAGGGTGCAAAGAAAATCATTTTTACAGCTTGCCATTCGGGCAAGCTGAAGCTAGCATTTACTAGCCCAGACGTCATTTCAACTAGCCCCAAAAACTTTTTGTTCTTCTGTTATTCAAACTCCTCATAAAACATCACTTGCCCGTCAGGCAAGTTGAAAACAGAATTCACTAGCCTGATAGCAAAATCCACTAGCCCCGGGCTATCGGACACTACTTTCTTTGCACGCTGAGCTCGTAAATTAGTTTAGTTGAATTGAACTGTTTTTTAATGGATTTTTTTTTTAATATATATATATTTAATGGAATGAATTTTTCCAATGGAAATGAAGTGTCTGTTTTTTTTTTTAATCGAAAGGAAAAAGTAGCAGGTGTGCACCCAAGCCAGTAGTCCAGCTTTATTGAATTGAGGGCGGGTGTGGCAGGGAAAAATCAGAAACTAATGTGTAGTAAACTACGTACTATTGGAAAATACAACGCGTGCACGCAAAGTGAACAAAACAAAGGAGCACACAGCTAGCATTGATGGATATAAGTATAACATAGTATTGACTACAGTTACTAACAATGAAAACTTGTTATCACCGAAGTTTGTAGAAACAACTGAAGGTCAGTTATTGATATAATCTAAGATAAACAAGGAGGTCTTGAACCAGAGCTGAGTCACCCAATGTTCTTATGTCCGATAGCAACATATTTGCCAACCAGGGCAAAGTAAATCATAATGAAACAATGGCTGAAGTACGCTCTAATTAGTTAACTCTATTTTACGAGTAAAATGTCCATTAACAACTTAATCGCTTAACTATGTAGTCCAAGATAAAATACACACACAGTTTTTGGCAGTAAATGGGACTAAAGGTTGTTGGGTGCACCCTGGGGTAAAACAAGGGTGGCGGCAATACACCCCATAAAGTGCATGCAATAAGGGTGGCCGCGACACACCCAAAACTGAGTAGAGAAATAGGGTGGCAGCGACACACTCTGATTAAAATTATTATTACTGTTGTCAGTGTTTTAATAATCATTAAATTATTATTATTACATTCTGTAGTTCAAGTGGAGGAACACATCAGATTTATGTCACAGCTTGTTCCAGAGTGGATATCAGTTCTTACAGTACGGAAATGTGCCTATGTGAAAATCAACAAGACTGCAGATGTAAACAACGTGATTAACAAGCTCATCACTAAAGATGTCCATTAAACGCCCGGGTTAGTTTTTGAAGTTTTAACAGTGAAAGAACTTGATCTTGTTAAAATCTAGTGGAACAGCCTTTGAGTTCATTATCTTCCAATATGGAAAGAGAAACTTGAGCTCTCAAAGTTTGCTCTTTGCAGAAACTGAGACTTTAGGATTCCTTAGCAGCTGCGCATGCAGATTAGACAGTTGTCGAACAAACATGGAAAAAGTTTGAAATTGTTCCTAAGAACTTGATGCTTTAATCACACTAAAATGTGTATGAGTCATCTAGACTCAAACAAAAAAATTCAACCAATCTTCTACTTTTACAATGCAGTACTTTATTAACAACTTGAGGATGTAAATACTGACAGAAAGGCAGGATGACATTGTTCCGTGACTCAACTTGTTTGACAGACAAGATGGAACTAATCTCTTTTTAACAGTTATTTTTTTTGTTTTGTGTGAAAAATGAAACAGTTTTTAGATTATTTTACTAAAAAAATTATTAGTGTCAATACATATATTTTTTTTAAGTTAGAGCTAACTATGTTGTTAATATTCTAATCTTGTGACTTGTTAGTGAATTTTTACCAGGCAAGGATTTAAACCTTGGCCATGTTTTCATCATTAAAAGCAGCACTTTGTGGCTAAAAGACAACTTTATGGCCTTAGAATTTTATCATCATGCATTTGCTTTTACTGAAGGTAATAGAAAAGTAAAATTATTTTACTGTTAATTTTATCGATAAGGGCATCAAGAATGACAATGTGACTGTGCCTATGTTAACTTGTTGGTTTATATGAGAGGGATTTTAAATGAAACAGTCAAGTAATAGAAAACGTTTTCCATGTTTGCATAGCCTGATATAAACACGAGAGGGGTTCGGAGAATTCGTGGGTTTGCATAACTGTTGAGAATTCTCCCAACTCCTTGAGTGTTTCTATCAGGCTATGGAAATACAGGAAAACAGTTTTCTATTGCTTTTATACATTAACTTTCCCGAGACAAAACTCAAAACTCTTTGTTATGGCACTGATTAAAAGAGAAATTCTTACTAGTTGCAAAGTCTTGCACGGGTAATAGTTCTTGTTTTGCAAAAAAGATGCTTTCCAAAATATGTATGTTTAGTCTTGCTTGCGTAAGCAGCGAGACTCATAATCTGCAATGCGATTTTTGCCCGGGGGTGGTCCCTTATATAGGCTATATAGGTATATGCCACACCAAAGGCTATGTTTTTTTTAGCTGTTTTGGTCTGAAATAGGGTATCAATTTCGATCATTTTGTTCTGAAATAGGCTATGGTTTGTACACTCTAGTCTTGAATTGGGTATGTTTTTTAGAAGAATTAGCTACTTCTTCATCATTTGGCAATAAGACCATTTCCCTTTTAATGTTTACACCCAGTGTCAGTTTACGCTCTGTCTGTTGGGGTTGGTCTTATCCCATCAAATACCCTTTACCCTTCTTTCCTGATGTTCGCGCAGTGTTAACAGCTAAATGTAAGTACTGGACATTGTTCTGACAATACTGTGGCATATGTCTCGATATCACAACCTTATCCCCAACAAAGCAGGGAGATGATGGCAAGAGAGAATTGGGTTTTACTCCTGGGTGGCAGTCCTTCCACATTTCCTTAGTGGTTTTTGTTCCCACCCACCTGGGGAAAGACATGTAATGTAGGGGTTTATACAGTACTGTACTCTTGCTGTACCCATTACTCCTGGTTAGCACTCTTTCCTTTGACATTCTTTTCCACGGTAATAATTATTACCTATAGACTTAAATCAAACAACTTAAATCAGAAATGAGGAAACAGCAAACTGTATTACCAAGTCAAATTTTTGGTACAATACTTTCAATGTGTTCATAAAATATAAATGTTTTACTTCTATAATAATATAATACTTTATGGCTGGCCAAAAGGGTGCTGTAGTAGCTCCTTGTGGCTCTTAACTTTTCTATGAAATACAGTCATTTTGACTGATATTTAGTTTTATTTAATTTCTACTTGGACCAGAGTTCTTCAGATAGAATTTTCTTGAGCCTTGTATGTATCCTTTTTCTTTTGCTTTGTTCCCATGGCAACATCTTTTCTGATGCACATTCTGATAGTAGAGATGACAGTTTGTTTTGAACATGCACAGGAGCTCTTTGTAATAATCCTGGTTGTTCCCAACTTGATACCAGAATATCGCGACAAATGACCTGCAGTAGCAAAAAGAACATTCTCTTAAGTCATTATTTGGTTCTTTTTTATAAAACACACAACCAGAACATTTTTTGGACTTTTTCACAGCCACAAAATTCTTCATCTGTTAGCCCCACAATGACAGATTTTCCTACCCTTTCATATACTTCAACAAGTGAAATCCCTACCCTTTCATATACCTGAAGCCTGAAAAAGGTACCCCTTTTAGGCAAAGCCTCCCCATATAGGCCATTATAGGGAGTACCCCCCACCCCCTGGGATGATGAACAGCCCTATTGGTTTAAAAGGTGGTAAGTGATCAAAACTTTTCTAACCTGTAAATTATTTGTTAGAATATTTCTGGAACATTGATGAATTGTCTGATTGCATGAAGAAACACAGTCAAAAAAGTCGCATTGTTTTTTGCTTTCACAAGTTGGCTGTTCAAGAAAGTCCTTCATTTGTCGTGTCGGGAATACAGTATCAATGTCCAAGGCGACAACTCGCATATCTTTGGTGATACCAAAATTTCCAGGCTGAATATCACAATGATGAAGTTTTCCTAGACTTGTGTTTGAAAATTCCTTTTCGAGACTTAAAAAGTCCAAAGCTATTTTCAAGCGTTTCTTCCAAGGCATTGGCTTTCTGAAAGGAGTAAATGTCAATTCCTCTAACGCTTGCACTTTTTCAACAGCATAGAATCTCCCACAGAATCCATACACTTGTGGTATGTGTTTCATGCTTTGTAGTAGCTGCAGCTTGATAAATTCATCTCTTTGTATTAAGAGCCACAAACTTGACATATCAGCCCAAGTGAGTTTACCCATGGGGTGGGGGTACCAGAGTTGTTCTAGCACCCTCTTTGGCTTCATCAAATCTTTCATTTGAAATAAAGATAGTTCATTCACTACATGTTCAAACACATGGGACGTAAAGAGTTCCTGAATTCCACCTTGGTCATCTGCAGTAGTAATGCCATCATCATTATCTGTCAATGAACCAATTAAAACTTTGTTATGAAACTGAATGACATGTATTTAAATATTTTAAGACTCAATCAGTACAATTGAATGTCTCTAGATAGGGATGTGTGTTCAGTAAACACTCTGTGATAATATAATCATAATACCATAAAATTCCCCAGGGCTTATATTTTTCAAAGACCCTTTTTGAGGGGCTTATTTTTGGAGGGGCTTATATTCAGAGGGGCTTATCTATGGAAGGAAATTTGCATTTCAAAATCGATTGAGCTAGCCTTACAGTTGGAAGGAAATTTACCATTTTTGCTTTGTTTTACTTTGTATTTGAGGGCAATTTCCAAGTACAAGCCCCTGGGGAGATTATATATGGAGGGGCGATTTAACGGACGGTTGTTTGCGTTACAAGTTTGGAGGGCTTATATTAAGGAGGGGCTTATACATGGACGGGCTTATTTTCGGAATTTTACGGTATAACATAGCTAATCTTTGAGTCTATGGCCGGGGGTACTGCCATATATGGGCTATATAGGTATGTGCCGCTGTGAAGGGTATGGTTTTCAAGCAGTTTACTCTAGGATAGGGTATATAAATCAGCGTTTGGCTCTAGAATAGGGTATCATTTTCAGGAAACTGATCAGTTGGTTGAAGATTTTATCAAGACTAGGTACACAGCTACTCTAGGATAGGGGGATTTGGGGAGTTTACTCTAGTATAGGGTAGCAAAATTCAGCTGAACTAGCTCTGGTATAGGTTAAGGGTTCCAGGCTCCCAGCGGCACATCCTCACCCAGAAATTCCTAAAGTACCCCCCCCGCTGGGGTCTATGGGCTATTGCCAATGGTGTAAAGGACTACTTATATGGAACTTTTTTGGCCATTGAACATCCACATGTGCCGACACTGGTCTGGATGGGCGAGGCGTGATCAAACATAAACTGAAGCAGCTGCATAGTGCCTTTTTACATGCAGATGTCCGATCACACCCCCACAATTCATCCATGGCTACCGGCTGCAAGAGAGGAAACACTGGCACCCCTTTGTTTTCATTTGTTGATTGGGGTAGGGGTGAAATGTTTGTGTTCCAGGCAAAGAAGGAGTACTAATATTTGAGGTGTGAGATAAAAGTAGGATGCATGCATATCTAGGGTCCCCCACTCCTGTTCCCATTATTACATTACAAAGGCCTGAAGTGATTCCTGATTTGATGTCAAATTCTCCCTTTATTTCAAAAGCATAAACAAGATTACTTGAAAGGAGAATTTAGCAGTTTATCAGAAGTCCCTAAGTGACTTAATTCCTTGAATGCCTTTAATAATGTTATCTTACCACCGTGTCCAGCATCAATTAGAGCTGTCAAGTCTTCAAAATGATGTGGTTCCCTCTTTGTCTTGAATACAATGTCATGATTTCTCCACGTCCCAGAAAACACAATGGTTGTATTCTTATGAGCGAGGCAATCTTGAATGGCAAGGTCATGACTGTCACACAAGTCCTTGCAGAGATTTCCTCCAGTTATCCCGCGATTAAAATCTTGACACTTTGGTTAAACGTGGATAATAATGAAATTATTTAAAAGGGCGGTAGGTGATTCCCGGCTAAAGGCACGCATGATATGAAAGACGTGACCACTGCAGGATATGGACGTTCCCACCTCCCAATTACTTTCCTTGACGACCCCTTAATCACCAATATTAGAAGCATATGCTTCCTGCCAATACATTTAATCTTGTTTTTAGATAGGATGACACGAACAAAATCTGTCAACCTGTTTTAGTATATGTAACAGATATTTCATTCTTACTTATGGATCTATACTATTAAAAAGCGATTTATTGCATACTGGTGAAACGATACGATGCAAGGGGTAACGGAACGATACATTTACTTCCTTGTGTAACTGTCACTTTGATTAACTCAAGACTTGGAGAGTTTTAACGGAACTTCGCACATGGTAACTGCCTTGCTTGTTTTCATTTTCATCAGCTCACCTCCACCTATCCTCTTCGAACCTCGTGGTGCGTAGGGCCTTTATTTTTATGATTCTGCAATAATATTTCCTGCATTGATGAAGTTAATACTCACAAGTTGAATCAGTCGATCCTTTGCATGAAGTTCTTCGCAAGTCCATTGCCTTTCGATGTCACCGGCATTCTCTTGAATTAGCCGATAAACGATGATAAGAAATGCAACTACAAATGCATACCACAGCAGTCTTTTACCACTTATCCTGCCTCGCTTCCACCAAAGTCGCATCATACAGTAAGACCGCCGCGGAGAAGAGTTTCATTTCAGTCCATTTTTTGTGCGTTACGTAAGGCGTGTCACGTTTTGAGTCACGCGATGTGGGGCCAAGGGGATGACCTTTGGGTCACCTCAAAGAAAACATGGAAACGAGGTTTTTTTGAAAATCGAGGTCATGGTCACGTACAAAGTGAACGGCTCATGGATTTTTTTAAAATCTAGCAATTCATGTTTGAAGAGAATGAAGTGAAATTATTAGTGACTTAATCCAACTTGAAAATGAGATTAAATTAAAAAATGATATTAAAAACCACATGCGCTGCGCTTTGTTAAACCGGAAATGATTGTGATGTAGCCAAAGAAAATTTATTTGTACTTCCGGTAGAAAATTTTAAAGCTAAAGGAAAAAACTCACACGAAACATCGTTATTCGCAAATCTGGGATTTTGAAATAAATCTCATACGAAACACTTTGCATGATAATTTTCCCGATTAGGTTTTGATTCGCTAAATGAGCTCTTGATTCCTCAGGCACGTAAATTGCAAAATAAAAGGAAACCGGCTTTGGTCGACGCCCGTGAGAGCGCTGTTGTTTCCGAATGATTGTGCGCCAAATATGGACCAATTAGTTACACTACAGTAAAGACGCGTGCCACCATTGTTAAAGTAGCTTCTCGACCAATCAGAATCCTTGCTGAGTTACTTTATGTGCATTGTGTTGACAATAACATGTCATGTTCCTTTCTCCGCGTTGCAGAGGTTTGTTTTCGGCCAAGCGAAGCGGAAGTCATGTCATGAAAGGTATGAAATTTCGAGAAAATCGGACACGCATAGACTGAGATCATTGAAAGTTAGGCGGCAAGACGTGAAAGTTTTGAAGAACATCGCAAATTCTCCCGACGCTACACAATGCCGAGGGTAGTTGCCGAGCAGAGGCACAAGTTTGAAAATGACGATTTGTTTAGGAAGATGTCACGAGAAACTGAGGTGATTTGACAATTTCAGCGTTACATCACGAAGTTGTAAACTCACATGGCCCAATACAAGCCAACGCTATTGAACCGTTTTCGTCTATTTTCAGATCAAATACACTGGCTACAGAGATAGATCGCATGAGGAACGCATCGTAAGATTTCAAACCGAAGCGAGGGATGGACAAGCTACCGTAGTAAGTTGATGAAAACTATTCTTGAAGGAGTTCAGCAAAACTTTTGGCAAGATCATTGCGTGGTTTAAAGATGTTGTTGTGAAGGAATTCTTGTTTCCTTTCATTAAATTGCTACCCTTGGCTAATTCTTTTATTAACCATCCAGGCTTTTGTATCGTCTGGGACAAATTTCACTCTTCAATTCCCAAAAGGAGAAGATGGAACAGTACCCAAGGAAAATCTAGACTTCGATCGCGAACCTGGCAAGGTACAGAAAGTTCAAGATAATTTTACTCTCATTTCGGGGGTGTAATATGTAAAAAAAACGCTGGTAGTTTTTCATTATCCTGTATAACAAATGCAAAATGCTATTTATTAGCTGTCGTGTTTTGGAATTTGCGTATTTTTGTAGATCTCTCGGTATTATTTTATCTTAATTTTAGAAACGATAAATCTGGACAACTGCCAGCACTTGAAATTGTGTGGGTAGCCATAGGAGTGCAGTGAAATTCCGCTTTTAGCCTAAAAAGGCATAGCGATGTGCGCCCGACTTGAATTCTTTTTGAAAGTTTATTTGTATATAAACATCTGGCTATTAAAGATTCCTGCAGCAGGTCGCGAGTTAATTATGCATGAGAAATCGCTCCATTTTTCAATCATTACTAGGAAACTGTACTTTCGGCATGTCTTGGTTCTTTCCGCAGAGGAAACAACTTCTCAACCAAATCGCACACTGACATTGAAAGGTTTGCCGATGGTTGGAATTTTGGGCTTAATGTCGCTAACCGGGGATAATTGCACGTGCTGACAAATTAATTATTTACGATATGGAACATTTCAGCATATGAATGGCTTTCTTATTCGAAATGACTTGCTTTCATTTGAGTCGCTCATACTGCGGTCTACTTTCACGGATAGGCACTATTTGGCTTTTCTGTTTTGCCGTAAAATATGCTCAATTCAAAGCAATTAATTGTAAGATTATGTGTATCGCTGTTTTAAGTAACACGACAATACGTAACACGACAATCATGATAGTATAAGATAAAAAAACCCGAAAATTTAAGACTGACAGTTTTCAGTATCGGTGGTCATGGTTTTTAAAATCTCATCTTTATAGAAAAAAGTCTAAATTTTCACGTCGGTAAATGAGAAAGCTAGTGATTCGTGATATCATGCCAAGTGTCTCTGTAACTCGAGCTAAAAATAACAGATTACGGCAATAAATAATCTTGTAAGCAGTGTCACTTATCGCAAACACTTGTGTACACGAACTGAAAATGGGGAAAATTCGCTGGATCGTGTTTCATAATATTTACACGTTCGTTTAGAAAAGTCTAGGTTTGTTAAGATCATGTTGCATTGCGAAAACAACGAGTGTCAACAAGTTTTCAAGCGAAAGTTTTCTATCTTCGCAAACTTTCGGCATCTCTTGTGCCACTTACCAAGCAAAAATTCCAATTAAAAACAGGTGCATGGTATCACAGCGAGATTACTTTGACAAACCAGTATTTGATTTCTTCCTGAATTGAACGTAATAACAAAGCTATTGTTTTCTTATTTTGTTTGGCCGTTCAAGTGCGATTTGTTTCATTTACGTCAAGAATGAAAACGGAAACAAATTATTCACCGTGAAGAGTATGTTTAAGACCGAATTTCTCGCAGTCCTTTTATTTGCTCGCACTCAAAATATAAATAATAACTTTTGTTTAACTTATTTATGAAAAAAGAATGCCGTAGTAGCAAGAAATAAAAATTTGCGTGTATAAACACTTATTTAATTATGCCAAGCATTCCAACCTTTAGGAGTGACACCGCCTTCAAGACATTCGAAATTGCCGATAATTACCGATAAATAAATTCCACATGCATCGGTGCCGGCGAAGCGCGAGACCTCCCTATTGCTGTGAAAATGCGTGTGTTTTAAACTTACTCCAATGTATTTGAAATTACAAATAGCGTAATTGCTTTTATTGGTTTTATCTGTTTCTCTATGAGTTTATTATCAACACCGAGCTTGAAAAGATTCTTCTCACAGAGGACAGAGTGGCAGCCTTGTCCGTGTTAAAAAGGGGACTTTGAAGGTCTAGAACTTTTCTTGGTTGAGAGAGGCTCAATGGTTTGAAACAGTCTCTAAAGTGATGATTGTTTCCAGGAGAATTAAGGAACTAAAGTTTAGTAAAAACCAAGGGTTTCCTGACGGGTTTCTTCCACATGGCCTAGCTGTTGCTTAATTCACCCTGGAAGCAGTGCCTCTTGAAAGCGAAGGATCGTGGTAGTCATAATACTGTCGTAAATTCTCTATTTTTTTTTAATATTTGCAACAGGTGTTTATTAAAAGCCGTTTTATCATGAACGGAGTGTGCGTAGTATGGAAGGGATGGCTAGATCTCCAAAGACTTGATGGCGCTGGCTATTTAGAGTTTGATGAAGATAAAGCTAAAGTAAGTCTCTTAACAATACAACTAACATCTTTTTTGACTTTTTTACTCTTTCAATGCCGTGTATTTTTACTCATTATCGTAAGTCAAAACATCTGTATTCCATGTAACTACATTGTATCAATTCACCCTGGGTGGTTTTTCCTGCTGTTTTTTGATGACCAGATTAATTGGCTGATTACACAGGAAAAGGTGTAATCAAAAATAGCTGTAGAGTCATGCATTTCTGATGGAAAGCAAGCAGGAGACTTTTGGGAGATAAGATAGTAGTGATTGTGAGTTTCATCACATTGCAATCATGGTGCACAATGTATCAGGAAGTACTGAAATAATTCAGGAATGTGTTTTGTTCTAACAGGTTATTAATCATATAGTTTTGATAATTTCATTTGTTATGAACCTGCCGTGAATATGCTATGGTTGCATTCAATTCATTTTAATGAACATTTTTTCAGACAAAGGGTGCAAAAATCAACAAAAACTTCAGCATTTCTAATGAGCTATTTCGAGTGCTTGCTTAACGTCTAGGCATCATGTTATAGCCAAATAAAGCTAACAATCACATAAACTGACACAGCTTCTAAGTGCTTGATGTTTTACAGACACTGTCAATTAGCCATTGTCTAGACTTTGTCAGTTCGTTTTACAGAATCCATTCTCTCATAAGAATGATAAGAATTACATTTTGTATACATGAACACCTGCTTCAGTGGAATCTCTATTATAGAGCAGTCTGCCCTCAGGAAGGGAAACTGACAGGAGTTTGAAAAATGTTCACCAGATATTATTAGCACATTGTATGAGCAGGGGGGCAAATTTGGTTATCACTGCTGTGAATAATTACCAAATCATGAATTCTACAAACTTGAACTTAAGTTGTGTAAACTCATGAGTGATAATAGTTCTTCAGAAAATGGGTACAAATTTGCTTCATTTTATTCCAAAATGACATGAAGTAAGTTCTTTTACTGCAAGGGCACTAACGGGAACAAATAAGCACAGTGTACGAAGGGTTTTGAGTGTGTTAACACTTTAAGCCTTAATATTTACACTCACATTTGGGGGCCAGGGGTACTCCCTATCAGAGGCCTATACAGGGAGCTTGCCCCAAAAGGAATACCAGTTTAAGACTGTTAGATCTTGAGAATTTCATACTTTTTAAGTCTAAGGATGGGTAAGAAATCTGTCATTATTTTAGGTATTTAAAAAGGCATTAAAATATTTTAAACAGATGCACCTTAGTTTAAATATCATTCATTTACTTTGTTCCAAAGTATTCTCTAGCAGAAATTTAAAAAGGGTAACATTTTCCATGGAGAGTATATGAACGTCTGTCAAAATTGCTACAAAGAGGTATAAGGGTGTAGACCTTGGGGCAGAGCCTTCCCTTGATGTAAAAAACTAAACTAAGTACATCCCCCATAGCAGGCTTAGACATAGTTGTTGTTGTGAAAGGTTTGAACCCAGGAGTCATTTCAAAAGTAGGTTGAGTTTGATCGTCCGTTGTTGTTACTTTCAATTTAGTCTGAAGACAAAGTAATGAGAGACACATTAGAACAAGCA